ACTCTGTCTCTGGTGGGTCCTCTCACCCTCCCACGCTTATGGCCTGTACCCCAGTTCTTGTATAAATAAAATAAACCTTTTTTTTTTTTTTTGGCCAGCGGCCGGGGAACGAACCGGTGCTGCAGAGGCTGCGGGCAGCCTCACAGCCCAGCGCTCAACAACTGCGCCACCAGGGGAGGCCCTAAATAAAATAAATCTTAAAAAAAAAAAAAAAAAAAATGCAAACATTCTAGGCCTCCCTGGTGGCACAGGGAGTTAAGAGTCAACCTGTGAGGCTATCCACAGCCACTGCAGCATGAGTTCAGTCCCTGGGCAGGGAGCTACCCACATGGCGCAGCAGACCTCTCCTGGCTCACCTGCTGCTCCCCTCAGCAGTATGTTTCAGTCAGTCTGTAAGTTCTGTTGCATGCTCTGGTGGGTCCTCTCACCCCCCACATCTCTGGCCTGTACCCTAGTTCTTGTACGCATTTTGTTTCCCCTATGAAATAATTCTATTAGTTTAGCCATAGGAGGCAGTTCTGCCTATATAAATTTTGTATTTTTCCCCACATTGGAGCATTTACCCTGTCTTGCTAAGGGGTGCTCTCAATTGCAATCCCCTACAGACCTCAAAAAAATCCTTTTATAGGGCCTCCCTGGTGGCACAGGTGGTAGAGCTCAGCACTGTGAAGCTGTCTACAGGCTCTGCAATGTCTGTTCGGTCCCCGCCGGCCGTGGAGATGCCCACATGGCATGGCAAAACTCTCCTGTCTCACCCGCTGCTCCCCTCAGCAGTGTATTTCGGTTGGTCTGCCTGTTCTGTTCCTCGCTCGCTCTCTCATGAATCCTCTCACCCTCCCATACATCTGGCCTGTACCCCGGTTCTTATATAAAAATAAATAAATCTTCAAAAAAAATCCTTTTATATGTGTAGATTTTAAGTTCTGACTCATTGCTGGGTAGTTCTTTAGCAACAGTCATGAGATAGACTGGTAATATATATACACACACATACACACACACACACACAGTATATCAAAGAATTGGTATTCAGGATATATAAATAACTCTTACAATAATAAAAAAAAAAAATCCCTTCCCTGAAAAAGAACAAAAGATTTAAATAGATACTTCATGAAAGGATATAGATGGATAGGTAATAAGCACATGAAAAAGAGTTCAACTTATCAGGGAAGTGAAAATTAAAATTACAATGAGTTTCATCTACCAATATTGCTAAAATTAAAGGAAACTGACTTCCAAATGTTGGTAAGGAAGATGTGGAGCAACAAGGTTCTAACAGTCTTGGTTGAAGTTTAAAATGGTATAACCACTTTGGAAAACAACCTGGCAACTTCTTTAAAAAGTTAAACATATATCTAGCCTATGACCCAGCAATTCCCAAGATAAATAAAAACACCAGTCCACAAAGACTTGTATAAAATGTTCATAGAAGCTTATTCATAACAAAAAAAACCTGGCTACAACTTAAGAGTCCATCAACAGAAGAATGAGAACTAACTGTGGCATTTTCATACAACAGTAATAAATTGCAAGTAGCTACTTAGTCACACAACATGGATGTCAAATCTTGCTAAGTAAAAGAAGTCTTTCATTTGGTGTACCATTGTATGCAATCGTTTGAAATGCATTAAAAGGGTAAAATGGTTAATGGAGGAACTGGAACATAGATTCTAAAACAAGTATATCAAAATATTAATGGTAGAATCTAGGTATAGGTATTTAGGTTGATCACTGTGTAAATTAGTGTGGTGTATAAATTTAACAAGGAATTCTAAGTTTTCTTCTATCTTTTGATAATATAAATGAACAAACTTGGAATTTAGACTCAAAAACTAGCCATTAAGAAACCCAAGGATTTTAGTAAACCAATGACCATTCCCCATTTGATTTGCAATGGATTTACTGGGATTACAAAAGCAAAGATATGTTAACTGATTTGCAAATATATGGTGTTAGTAGTAGCCCTTTAGAAAATGAAGAAATAAACCTTTTGCCTTTCCAAGGTTTTCTGAACCACCCAAGACCTTCTGGCAATAGTTTTTCTTCTTCAAAGTTTCTTTCTACCACTTGGGGACACTTAATTTTCAGCATCAATGGAAAAGAAATCTACTATGCTCCATTGCACATCAGAGTAACCAATGTTTTTTTAAAAAAAAGTTATCATTAAAAATAAATTGGAAACTATCTCCATAATTAAATGGTTATGGGAAACCCTCATAATGTTCAGAGGCAATGACAACTTAAGGAAAATAAAGGAAAACATTAACTTTTCTTAACTGTCAAATGGTTTGAATTTGGTCCCAGTTTGGGGTGAAGATCAGCCAAACTAATTCATCTAGTGGAAATTTAAAACAAAATACATAATTATTAATATTTATTACACTTCCAGAACAGCAGCTAAGGTTAAAAAAAAAAAAAAAAAGATTACTATTCACAAGAACTTACAGATTAAACAGTCACCTCCAACATAGGTTGAAAGCCTGGGAAACAAACCAGGGCACCAGGGCACATCTAACAACATTAAAAAAGATGAAGAAGCTCTAAGAGAAAAGAAGTCAAAGAATTTCAGAGTCATTTATAAATGCACTCTCAAAAAACATCTGCCTAATAAGATTATTTAAATAGTCCCCAAGAGAATCAACTGATAACTATTCCCATCCTTGACAAGATGTATTTATAGAAATCAGAATATTAAATAGTATAAAGAGCTTGAAATATGGTCCCATAACAAGAGAGTTAAAAAGGAAATAATATGTGATACATATAAATTTTAGGTATTGAAGATTCAAATTCCTGACAGTTTTCCAAAGAAGAATTTCCAACAATATGGCAGACTACTTGTATAAAGAACACCTACCTCTCAATAAAAAGTACCTCAAAATACTAGATGAGGACATCTTTTATAAAGTATGTCTGAAATTGAGCTGGTGGTAAATTAAGGGAAACCTTAGGAGGCTATAAAAGAGAAAGTACAGTAATCCACAGGAGTTAACAAGGATTAGAGGCAGCATTTTCTCTGAAAGAGTCTGTGAATTTCTGGTAGCATAGCTCCTGGTTTTAATGATCTATATGTCCTGGGATAGAAGACAAATATATCTCATATCATACACAAAAAACAGATGAATTAAAAATTTAAATATTAAAGTCAAGAAATTTAAACATTAGGAATATATAGAAATATGTTAATGATATCAGGATTGTTAGAGATTTCTAAATAACAATATTCAAAAAGAGAAATAAAAGAAATTTAAACATTAAAATTAAGCAGTCTGAGTCACCAAAACACATCGTAACAGGGTTGAAAGAAAAGTCACAAAGTGAGGGGGAAAATTACAACACATATAACTAAGAAAGAATTAATATCCAGGATATACAGAGAACGCTCATGAAACAGTAAGAAAAAGTCAAACCACCCAATAAGAACAATAGACAAAGATTTTTTTCAAAGGCATTTATATAGGAAGAAAGATAATGGGCTCCTTAATATATGAAAAGACATCCACCCCCCTTGACAGAGAAATACAAATTAAAAGGGCAGTAAGATACTCAAGTGCTAGCTACAATACAGAGCAATGGGAACTCTTATATACTGCTGCGGGGAGCTCAAATTGGTAAATACTATTCTGGAAACACTGTGGTATCAGAGTATGCAAATAATCCATAACCCAGCAATTCCACACCCAGGAATTCACCTAGAAAACTAACGTACATATGTACCATAAGACAAATATTCAAATGCATTTTCACAAAAATACTAATTCAAAGGGAAAACAAGTACTCCTATGTTCATTGCAGCACTATTTATGGTGCCATGGAAACCACCTAGGTACCTAAGAACAGATGAGTGGATTAGGAAGATGTGTGTGTACACACTGGAATACTGCTCAGTGATCAAAAAGATAAAGTTTTGCTATTTGTGGCAACATTATGCTAAGCAAAACAAGTCAGAGGGAGAAAGACAAATACTGGATGGTATCACTTATATGTGGAATATAGAGAAGTCAAACAAAGAGTCAGATAAAGTCAAAATAAGAACCAGCCCTAGAAAGCTATCTATAAAGCCCCAGAGGCCGAGGGAGAGGGACAAGAACAAAGTAGGAAGAGAGCACAATGGACTATGGGTGTACCACTGATGGTAAAGGTGGCTAACAACACCTGAAGGAGAAGATCCTGTACTTCTAAAACACAAGCAATAGTGTAAACCAAGGTTACCTCAGTTAAAAAAAAAAAAATGTATTCTTTTACTTGGTGATTTCACAATGAGAAATAATGTTTAATTAAAAAAATACAACGTACTCATCCAAAATTAATGTTTATGGAGCATATAAATATTCTCATCATGGCCTACTTATTCATTAATAGCTAAATTCATTAATAAATAATATTCTTTTCTAAATCCAAAGATAAAACACACCTGGGAGGCCAATTTTAGATAAAGCACAGAAGACTTTTTGTTAATATTGATAGACACATACTAGAATCATCAAAGACTATGTCAATCATTTATGAAAGAAAATTGAGTTTAAAGATTACTTCAATGTAATCAGGATTAAAAGTAAACAAAACTTTTCTTCTTAATATCCTTGAGTGAAATAACTTTAGCTTCAGTATCTTACTTAATCACAAAATATACAGAAGGAAACAATAAAGATATGGAGAGCCTGACGTCCTGTGGTCTTCCTTAAAAAGAACCCATTTTCAAGAGGCTATAATCTACTCAACAGAAAGCATTCTACCAAGGATCTTAACTCAGATTCTAAGAAAATTCACACTCAAGATAAACAATACACCACTAAAACCAAAACAATGTAGGTATTAGCCGCATACAAAAGATTAGTCATTTCTAAAATGGTAAGACCTTGAAGTACTTTGTATTCAAACTGGAAAGTATATAAAGGCAGGAATCATTTATGAAGCAGCTTGAGAATTTTTCATTTTACACATCCTCGTTTGATTCTATGCCAACATCAAACTAAGAATGGCAAAAATGAGTTTCCCTTTCTATATATTAATACTAACTTTTTCTCTGCTTTCTCAAGGCATTTTACTTTCAGCATCCAAGTCCATAAGAAATTTAGAAGATGACATGGTATTCAATACATTTAGGCTGGGGAAAGCCTTTCAGAAGGTAGATGCTGCAGAAAAATCAGTCATTGCTCCTTCCCTGGAACAATATAGAAATGATGAGACCAGCTTCATGAATGATGAGGAGAACAAAAACTCAAAGGTAAGTGACATTGTGACTTGTCCTTTATTTCAATGGAAATTTAAATGGTTTTAATGAATGTTTTAAAAGTAAAATTAATACTTCACAGAATATGGGCAAATAGTCACAATATACATTAGGATAATTAAATGATTAAATTTCATATATAACAGGCTATTTTTCCATCCTGGACAACATCTCTTTCTCCAAATGGGTTTGTCTCCCCCCAAAATTGTATTCTAAGGTATATTTAGAATAAAAACAGCGCAGAGCATTTTTGAATTGATCAATGAAAGTATTACACAATTGTATCATAGTTCCATTCCCAATAAGACAGTTAAACACAAATCAACCTTTTCTTTACAGAATGCAGGTGCCAAACATAATTTCTTAAATCATGGTCTACCACTGAATCTGGCTATAAAACCTTACCCTGCACTAAAAGGATCTGTAGTTTTTCCAGCTGAAAATGGAGTTCAGAATATTGAATCAACACAAGAAAAGAGAGAAATTGGGGATGAAGAAAACTCAGCTAAATTTCCCATAGGAAGGAGAGATTTTGACAGTGAGTAGTCTTTTAAAATTTAATTCTTCTATCTTAATACCATAAAACAGAACTCTGAGTTTAACTGAATTTGGATCCAATCATAACAAAATCAAATAAGACCATGGTTCAGTTACATTTAATATTAAGTGACCCCTGCCAAAGATGTGGGATTAAAAAGCATTTAATGAGTTATTGCAACTTTAATCACTCAGAATTATATTAAAGCCATCCTTTTATATCTTGCAAATATGTATGATAATAATATTCCTTTAAACAATTTAAACTCTTTTTTCTTATCAGTGCTCAGGTGCATGCTGGGAAGAGTCTATCGACCATGTTGGCAAGTCTGATACCTGCTGGTCCACTACATCTTTCCAGAAGAAAACAAAATCATTTAATTGTCTGTGGGGGAAAAAGCCCTTAATGTTACTATGACTTGTATTATTTTAAAATGTCTGTTCTCAAAAGAAGTAGTATTAAAATATGCCATTAACTTAAATGATATGCTTTACCTGTGCATTAAACTTTGTGAATATTCTGCATAAATACGACTTACTAGTTTTCTTTTTAAACAAAGCCTAACATGCTAACCTTACACATACTCCAGGCCAAAATGATAAAGTATCATAATTTATACTTTGATCTCTTAAAAACTAAGTCTCTTTGGTGAATGGTTTTATTTATATATACATAATATGTATATAAACCTAAAGCACATAAAATGCCAAATTCATAGTCTAAAAAACTGTGTTAACTTTGTCTGGCCAGTTATCAATTTGTTCTTGGCAGAACACTTGTTGCTTTTTGTCACTTTGGCTACTTTGACATCCAATTTATTCTGCAAATTGTTTGATGTCTTAGGTATCGTAGCATTTTTATGTTGAGGTAGTGATTCACATTCATTATCACCCAGAATATTTTCATCATCCAAATCCACCTGTTTCCTTTTTGAGCTTTTATTTCCTGTATGACTACTTGATTTTCTTGCTACTTTTTTATTTTTACTTCTGTCCAGATGAACATTTCCAGAACTTGTTCCAATTGTTGATCTTTCAACAGAGGAATTTACACCATCTGTTACGCAAGATGAAAAAAAGAAAAGGAATTATATAATATATAGTATTACATGTGAGACTTTTACAATAAACTTTTACAATGACTAAAAAAATTCAAAAATTTATGATTTGCACTGAAATGCTATAAATGACATGATTAACAAATACAGCTATAGGGAACTCCCTGGTGGCGCAAGGGGTTAAGATACAACCTTGCTATCCACAGCCACTGCAGCATGAGTTCGATCCCCGGCCAGGAAGATACCCACATGGCACAGCAGACCTCTCCTGACTCGCCCAATGCTCCCCCAGCAGCGTATTTCAGTCAATCTGCCTGTTCTGTTCCCCGTTCTGTCTCTGGTGAATCTGCTCACCCCCCACAGCTGGCCTGTACCCCAGTTCTTACATGCATAAATAAATAAATCTTTTAAAAAACAACAAAAAAAAGACAAATCCAGCTATATTACTACTTTATCACACATTAATGTGCACTTATCACACATGATTTTATAGCTTCTCATCCCTACAAATACTTGCATTACTTGACTGCCTAACATTTAATATTTAAATGCTACAAATTATTTCTTAAATATATTTAGTTAAATCAAATTTATTTCTATACATAAAATTGCATGAAAATATAACTTAAACCCAGGTGAAAAAATAAAAAACACACCCAAGTCTTTAAAAATATAAGCCTTTACATTTCACATTTCACACTCTGTGGAAAAAATTATTTAAGTTAAAATCAATGAGTAGACTAGAATTAAATTGTTATTTAATTGTTCAAATGAAATCACTTACCAGAAAGGTCATTTTCCATGTGAAGAACACGTACACAGTTTGATGTTGAATCAACATAATCCCATTTATCCTTGTTTATCATGAAGTCATCTTTATAGGTACAAGCAAACTGGGATCTAATTAAGGACTGCTTCATCTGGTGATAGGTAGTAAGAAGAAAATAAGCAATTTATTCTCTATTTTTATTTATTTTTTTCATCTAGATAGCAACATACTCTATAGTAATCATGGTATCATAAAAATGTCCCTTAATTAATTGGGAACATCTAACCCTTCAGAGTTTACAAATTCATGTATTGCTATGACTAGTATTTTTGTTCTTTTCAGTTAAGCTTTATGTATACTTTTGATATTTTTGTAACCATTCAGGAAAATCAATTTTAGACTTGTCAGAGGCCTATGCTATTATACATTCTGTGGCTGAGTTACGTTGGAAAATAAGTTTTACTAGAAGCTTAAAAATAATATACATGATATACGTAGCCATAAAAAAACACAAATTTGTCATTCTATGAGTTACATAGTACTTCTGTTAGGGAAAAACAGCATATAGAATTCAAGAAATTGAAGAAGGGAGAAACGCTAAAACAAAAAAGAGAAATAAGGGGTGAAAGATACGAAAATAGAAAAGTAATAGAGAAATAAGCTGAAAGATAAGGTGGTAACTGAAAGACATTTTGTGATTCAAACCTTGAATATTTAGAAAAATAAACATTGTTCAAAGGTTTCATTTTAGGAAGATCTAACCAAATGATTTAATAGTAAAAAATTCAGAATATACTCTTGTCTTTATCTTTAAACATCATAATTAGGAGAAAATCAGAATGCTTTCAATTCTTAACCACTGAATAGGATGACAAGAAGGTAGCTTTGAATATGGATTCTGTAAGCATAGAATCAGTGGCTGTTTTATGTTTTAGGGACAGATATTAATTTCAGAACAAAGTAATTTATATAGATAATACAAATTCAAAAATTACACCTGGTTAGTAATGTATAACTACTTCCCATTCAAGTATAATGGGAAAATTTTGCTAAGTAATTAGAAATCATCCCAAATCTTTTTTAAGAAATGTAAGTTTAAATTTCAAATACATGATTAAGTAAAAAGGACTTTGAAAATTTTAAAATTTAACACTTTAAAGTATACTACATTATAGTGGACATTATTTACAGAGTATATGATATAGATCATAAAGTCTAAGACAGCACAAAGTTATATATAAAGTAGATATATGTCCTGTTATGTATCCAGAGGGCACTACATTAACACACTCAGATAAACATAATGGCTATGGAATAGTAGTGAATCCACTGACTATGGTGAAAAATTAAAATAGTCTCCACACTATCTGCTTCATGAAAGCAAATTTTCTCAAAATGACAAATTCTGTATTTTTCTGACTAGTAGAATCTATAAGAGCCTCCAGTTTCCAGATCTCTAAAACTTACGTTTAATTTGTTAGAATGAAACATTAGACAACTGGAGTTTGCTAACTTCCATTTTAAGCATAAAAATATTAAAATTGAAAAAAGTGAGAATGCAAACATTAAAAACTATTTTTTAAAAAAAGTGAGTAGGCTTGACAATGTCTAGAATCAGAACATATTATCTTTATGTATCTATATGAACACCACTATTATACAGTGAAGTCTTAAGATTTTTAACTAGCTCTTCCAAGACTTTCAGTAATTCCATAAATAGAGTTAAAGCAAATAATAAAGCTATTTCTATACATTTTGTTAACCAAGTGAACTTTACATTGTAGTACATGACATCATTACTATAACATTATCCATGAATTTTTATTTCCATCTGCAAAACTAGTATTAGCTGTTGACATTATCTTTTCACGTGTTTCTTTCACTTCACCAGCTGTAGTTGATAGAGAATTATAGACACATTGCTTATAAAGAGTTTGGTAGGCAAATGGATGCTAAATAGCTAGTTAAGATCACATTTATTATACCCAGAAAGCACTGGCACTTAGGGGACTTCAGCCTCCGAGCACAATCATCAGCACTACCCATAAAATACTCTACGTAAGAATACCATAAATACATTATTTAGTTCAGACAACTGCTGTTTTCTCAAATTTCCTTGGAAAGTTGTACTATCTTAATTTCTAACATACATACAAGTAAAACTCTTCGTTATATAAAGTCACAAAGTAAGTGCCACAGCCTTCTTTTTGAGGACACTTTCTCTCTCTAGGCCTACAGAGAAATTGTTGAGCCCTTAGTGACAGCAGGGAAATTAGAGAAAATTAGAGTCACAGGCCATGGATACTTAAAAACTAAGAATGGGTTCAAGTGTGAAAGGAAAAGAGTTAAAACCATTTATTTACTATAAAAATATTATTATAAACATATAATACATAAGCAAGAACTACACTGTCCTGTGGAGATACTGGATACTGTGGGATACTTATGTCCAAAAGAAGTAAAACTGAGAGTAATTACACTGAGGGTCTTTCTTTCTTTTTATAAGATGTTATACATGAGCTTTCTTTTCCCTGTGCTTTACAAAAATCTCTTTTTAATCACTTACTAAGTCCCAACTATGTTACAGGCACACACCATACCAAGGAAATCAGTAGTGTGGCTTCTCTACTCACAAAAATATTTTATTTATAAAATTTGCTGTTGACACATAGTTGGGAGAAATATTCAATAAACTGGACAACAGAATCAAGAGTGAAAAAATTTCAGAAGGCTAGCCATTCAGTTGAAAATATTAAGATGAAAATGAATGAAGAGTAACAAAGTCCCACAATCAAGTTCAAAATATCAAATACAGATGTACAGGATGAGGAGACCTTACTTAAAAATAACTTTTCGAAAGACCAAGCAAGTTTCACTGATCATGATCTTGATGGGAGCCTACAATGTGATGTTCAGTAAAGAAATCAGCACAAAAAAGCCAAGATGATGTGATGTGAAAGGGACCAAATCTATTGCCAAAATAGTGGCATCAAATACTGGCTCTCTCCCTTACTAATCAGATGATCCTGGATATAAATCTCTCTCTTATCTATGGAGTAATGTCTTCCTCACAGTACTGTCAAGTTTAAATGAAGCTAAAAATATGAAAGGGCCACATAAGCTCTAGAGATCTGTGTTAATTGCATGCAGTGGTTAATGTAACAACATATAAAGAGAGTATTCCTATAGAGTAAGAAACCTGCTGAATTTGATTTCTAAGGACCAGGCCAATTCTAGAAAGACTCTAGTAATATAACTCAAAAAATGAATTTACAATCAGCTCCTTCATTTTAGTTATTAAAACAATGCAAGCTACACTGGTTTGTATTTATAACTTAAAAGAGATGGCTTTTCCTTTGTTCATAAAAGTTGGGACTTTTTGCACAAGATAAGTGCCTACATAGAATTGAGATTACTTCCTGTTGCAAATCTTCCAAATCTCTCTGTGTATTTGATTTGGAATCACAAATAAGCCAAACAATTCCCTCTTGAAAGTGCTTTTGAAGTACTAAACAACTAAGAATAATGTCCAGATTCATACATGGCTGCTAAAATCATTTTAAAAGTTCAAGTCACATGAGAAAAGGATTGAAAGTTTTCCTTTGTAGAGTGATTTCTCCCCCTTTGGAAAGATTTCTATCCACAGTAAAATTGCAATGAACTTCAAACTTGCCAAGAATTGGAAAAGTCCTTTTGCCACAAGCTCTTTTTAAATTAAAATTATTAGTAGATTCCCAGTTTGAGGAAAATAATACTTCACATAGGAAAGCTTGACTCCAGTTAAATTAAGATGAATGAGTCAAAATATTGAAAAGTCACAGACACCATCAGAGTTAGCTGTACTAAAAAGAAAATTAAAGTTCTATACTGATAAATTTATCAACAGTTTGAAAAAGGAAATTATTCTCAACATACCTATTAAATAGGTAACTAAAAATAAATATTCTAAATGCATCTTTTTTTCTTATACCATCACATTTTCAAAAGAACAGAGACTTGCTATCCTAAAGGGCTTATGAATTTAATTTGTAAATATAGTTAATGATCCATTTCTTCATCAGGGACATTTTGTTTACTTTACTGAATAGCAGAAATAAAATATTTCTGACCAGAGCAGTCACATTATGCTTTCAGAACTCATAATTATAATGATTATACACTTATTTATATTTACTCTTTGGAAAGAGCACAAACCTTGAAGTCTCATACCTGAATACAAACCCTGTTATTGACCACTAGGAGTATGGTCTAAAAAATGATGTCCTCCAAAGCTGAACAAGAATTCATCGGGTCGAGGGATATGAATGTCCTCTATAACACTTAACATTTAGTTGGTACTCAATAAATCCCCACCTCATTATTTCAGCCAAAATAAATTTCATTTTAGTGTAGTCTAATACAAGTATCCCATTTTCATTCTAATGAAAAATGCTGCTCACTTCTTTAAAGTCTTTGTTCAATGTCACCTTCTCAAAGATCTCAAAGATCACCTCTACAGATCATCTGATTAAAAAACAAATATGCACAGGCCCTCCCCTGGTGGCGCAAGCGGTTGAGCACCACGCTGTGAAGCTGTCCGCAGCCTCTGCAGCACAGGTTCGATCCCGGCTGGCCAATGAAGGTCCCACATGGTGTGGCAGACCTCTCCTGGCTCGCCCGCTGCTCCCCTCAGCAGTGTATTTTGTCAGTCTGCCTGTTCTGTTCCCCGCTCTGTCTCTGGTGAATCCTCTCACCCTCCCGCGCATCTGGCCTGTACCCCATTCTTGTATAAATAAATAAATCTTTAAAAAAAATATGCAGAGAAAGTTTCCTTATTCCCCTCCCCAACTTTGTTTCACTTGGTAACGCTGATAACCTCCTAACATATCATATAATTTCCCTTTCCTGTTTTGTTTATTGTCTGCCTCTCCAAAAACAAGCTAAGTCCTACAACCAAACTCTTAGTTTGCAAGTGGGTGTGGTCTGGCCCTTCTGTATCCCTCTAGAGGAGCACAGAGTCAATAGGCGATCATGACCTTCCTTTTATATCCTGTTTCAAGTAGCTGGGGCTCCAGCATTCCCTGATCAAACTGCCCTAGGCATTGGGCTATACTGACCTCTTCCTCTAGACTGAAGGCTGTTAATGGCAAAGGTGATGGGAAATAGGCTGTGGGTACCTCTTGGTAGAGTGTCCCTAAAAGTATGGTACAGAACCAAGGCTGCAGAGGGCCTGGGGGTACACCAGGGGCTTCCATTTATATTCTTGCAGCCAGTCCACCAATATTTGAGGAAAACTTGTCCATGAGTAAGGGAGTTTTTGTCTGTGGAAGGTTTGAAGGCATGGAAATTATAAGTAAGCAAAAGCATAGAGACAGGAAAAAATCTACAGAATAGAGCCTATTCTTAATAGAAAGTAAGGAAACCATATGATACAGAAATGAGAGAAGTAGGCTGGGACAGTTCTTTCAAGTTCTTAAATATTCTGCCTTTGTCAGGGTCTCATACACATATTTTTATAATAAGCCTTACTTAAAACCAGAAAAGCCACACTTCCCTTGACCCACATTATTATTTTGCCTAACTACCCCAATACACAGTATCTTTTTACTACTATGACAATCTAATACTTTCAGCAGCTTTTTTCCTCAGCCTGAAATGTTCCCTTCCATTCTCTCTGCTTACTTAAATCCTATTTATTCTAATTTCTCAGTGGTCAGAGGGCCATTTTCTCTATTTATCATGGGTCTTTAGGTATTCCATTTCAGTGTATCTTTAACCCCATAAAACTGCAAATGTTTAATAATCTGCTAGCCATGTGCAGTTAGTTAAAACTAAACAAAATTTAAAATTTCACTGCAGTAGACACATCAATTGTTCAATAGCCACCAGTGGCTAGCACCTATAATACTGGACAGCACAGACACAGGACATTTCCAGAGAAACTTCTGTTGTAGAACACTGCTCTAGAACAAAAGTTTACAATTAAGTCTTGTGGTTGTTTCATATGCTACAGATGGGTTCTCAAAGGACTCTAGGACAGTTTTGTTTCCTGGGTCCATAATATTGGAATCCAAGGCACCTTTATGTAAGTAAAGGAAACTGCATCTGTTCCCCATGTCTTGCAACTACTAATGATGTGAAAGAACAAGTTAAGCTTTCGGGAATAATGACAATTATCTTGTCTCAGCTTTTTAATTCTTTTATTCTCTTTGCTTTAGTTTGGAGGTTTGTTTTTTTTTTTTTTTAATCCATTGATAGTTTACTATTGATCCCATCTAGGAGTTCTTAAAATTTTAGGTGGTTTTCTAGTTCTGGAATGTCTAATTAGTTGTTTCATAGGTTTTAATCACTTTTCTATTGGAATTCCCCAATTTTTCATCTAATTTTCCCATCCTTTCTTCTGATACTTCACATGTTAAAATTTCTTTTAATTCCTTGTCAGCTAGTTCTAATATCTGGATAAATTGTGAGTCTGCCTCTAATGTTATTTTTTTCTCTTGACTTGATTAAAGGACAAATCTTCCTCTCTCTTCTCATGTTCAGTATATTTTATTTCATGCAGGATAATGTGTACAGGGGAACTAGAGGCTCCGGAAGTTTTCTATCAAGAAGAGTTTCTCCTGTCTCTGTTGGGCAGACACAGTGATGGAAAGAGAACCTCAAAGCATTCAGGGGCTGACCTGGATGAGAGCTGAATTATAGTTGTCATTACTCATATATGAATCCTGACTCTTACCTCATTGTCAGGAAATACCCTCCCCAGAACTTGAACTGAGAATCTTATGAATCTCTATAGTCTTTGATCTAAAAATCATGGAGATTTAGTTTATCTTTCACAGATTTTTATAGACCACTCTTTGGTACCCCTACCCCACTGCATTTTGCACTGTAGCAGATATCTTGGAGACAGTCATGTATTTGAAGCAGTTCCCACTCCTCAAGCAGAGCCTTGTTTTCTAAATAATGTGAAACCACAGGGGATCTAAGTCTTCTGGACTGAGGATCCTCAGGCTTCTACTCAGCTCCAAAATGTAGCATGTGTCCTGGGTGAAAAATAGCTATGCAATCACAGCTCCTGAAATTTCCAAATCGTTTTCAGCTCCTCAAGATACACAGAACCTTTGCTGGTTCCTCTTTCCATGAGCAGAGTTTCTTTAAATGGGCCAACACCAGGAGCACTGGTATCTCTACTATTGACTTCTGATGCTTATGAAGATACCAGAGTTACAGCTGGGCTATTTTTTCATGCTTAAGTCCTAATTGTCCAAATACTTCATGTTTTAAAGATCCAGTGTTTTCTTGATCAGTTCACTTAAGTTATTAAATCAATGAATGCTGATGATTATTTTGACATACATAGCTCAGAATGAGGTGCAAAATACTGCTAACCAAGCTAGAAGGAATAAAGCTGAACAATTTACAGGTAGAGGAGGTAAGTATCTTCTTGAAAAATCTTCTAATGAAAAGGTATAAGGGTGCTTATATAAACTGATAACTGGGGCTAAGAAATAGGTAAGAATTTTCTAAAAGTTCCTATCAAAACAATGAAGATTGAGGAAGAATCTTCTGATTTCCTTTGCAGGAGAAATAAATTGACCATCATAGACAAGTTTCCTAAAAAGCTACAGCAGGAAATAAAATTTGAGGACGTAAAATGAATGTTAATGAGCAGTTTCCAAAGTAGCTTCATAGGATTTTTGTGCTCAGAGGATTGTCTATATCTAATTATGAATTAGGAAAAGTTAATTAGTCCCCTAAATAAGGACATGGATACTTCACAATCAACATCATTTACAACATCAAAATTCTAAGTTCCCTAATATTTTCTACCACTGAAGTGCTCTTGCCAAGAGAGTATTTTAAGTGTAGATCATGTACTATTTCCATAACTCAAAAAAAGAATCCTATGCCAAAAGAGTGAAAGTAACAGGAAAATAAGTTAAAAGACTTTTCCATAGTTACTTAGTAGCAAATATTAGTAATAATTTTTCTTATTCCAACAAGTATTCTACTTGGCAGTGATTTAACTATATACCTGGCTAAACTAATTATTTTCACACTTTGTTTTTATAAAGAGCAATGTACTGTAAAATATAAACATCAAATCCTTTCTCTGTTGCCATTTAGTTTTAGAACTATGTAGACTAATGCAGCTCCACTATTAAGTAACGGAAGCAATGTAATTATAATCTCATTAGTACCAAACTAAGACTTTGCACATTGGCATAAGATATTTCATGGTAGTCATGAGATCTCAAATAGTAGCTTTCTCAGGAATTTGACATCCTCCTCTGCAAATAAGATTGATTAGATGCTCTCTCTTCTACTACCCAAAACTTTCTAAACTTGTCTATACATTTTAAGAACCTCCTCCTGCTTCAGACAATTTTTTTCATTATGATATACTTGGACCTAACAAAATACCCCAGTGATCTTTAAATAAAAAAGTTTGTGAGTATGCCTAGCAGGGTAAAAATTACAGAGTTTGTATGTTATAGTAGTGCTTCTAATCAATATCTTTGAGACAGATTCTGGGAAGGCAGACAGGATAGTGGCCCCATGTCAAGTGAGAAAGTTACCAGAGAATGGTAACTGCAAGTAGGAGACAGCCTACAATCTCAATAAGAAGAGAGCAGGAGGCAGAGAAGGTGATGACCCTGTTTTGAGCTGCGTGTATTAATCCCTCATTTCTGGCTGCATGTGTGCTAATCTTCAGGAAGCTACCTCCCTATGTGTGCATTCGACTGATAGAGGCATCTTAGAAAGCTATATTTGGTATAAAAGACCCTGGACCTGAGTATTTTGGGGGTAACCTGCTTCAGGTGCCCCCTCCCTGTCATCACAGGGAGCTTCTGTGCTTTCCTATGGCTGAATAAACTTTGTAAAATTCACTCCTCGCAGTCGGTGTCCTTAATTTTCATGGCGCGAGACAAGAACTCAGCTGACATCATGCTACATCTTGACTATAATTATGTTAATACAAGAGTGACAAAATTTTATTCACAGAAAAACTCAAGGATGCATTAATTACTAACAACTAATAGTAACCAACAGAAAGACAAGGCTTATAAATAAACTCAATGGGTCTGAGCTAATTAGATGAAACAGATAACTAAAAGCTCTTTGCAAATCAAGACTTTCCAAATGGTAGTATAAAACGCATACAAACTAGAACTTTCAGAGTAGTATAAGTATGAATAATTGATAATTTAAGGATAATTATAAATCTTACACAAGAATTTTGTTAAACAGTGAATAAATTACCAATTATAGAAGAATACTCAGTAAGTGAATATTTAATAAGTGAACGAGTTAAGGTCGAGTTTCCTTTTTAAATTAATGCTAAAAAATTTTAAGCACTGTAAAACAAGTTATTGACTACTTATGAGCACAAATATTTCAAATGAGAACAGGAAAACAGTTCAAACCAAATAAAAATATAAAGAACCGCTCAAGCCAATGACAATGTGAAATGTTCTCCTTATCTACACCTATTATTCTATCTCATCACTATGACTCCAGACAAAAACAAGTTCCACAGTCTCTCAAGATTGAGTTCAAGATATCAGAATGTAAATAAGAATGCCATGTCTCATTTATTTTCCCCTTCAATCATTGAACAGACATTTATTAAACTCTTACCATAGCAGGTACTTAATTCTTTCCTTCTTTAAGGTATAGTTTATTGAATAGACCAGAGACTGATAGTCAAGATTGTATAAAAGGAAGTTCTGTATGTCAACCATCATAACTCATTTTCCATTTAATTCTTATTGTTCCATATAAAATGTATACTTACAATATTCAGTTCAGTTTTATATTTTTCTTCTAAAAACAAATAATTTTATCATTTTCATGCCAGTACATTAAATTGTACCTGAATTTTATTCTCCAACAGTGATTTATTGATGCGTTCTCTTAGGGGTTTCACTGGTGAATTTTTCACTTGAATGGGAGATCTAGATATGTCCAAAAAGGCAGAAGTTTATAATTAAAGTAGTTCTTAATTAGTATTCACCCTTCGTCTACCAAATTTTAAATTAGTATTTACCCTTCCTAATGAACCTGGCAAAGATTAAAAAGGGAGAGCTGGATTAAAAAAACCAACAGGTCTATGAAAAAATGTTCAACATCACTTGTAATCAGGGAAATGCAAATCAAAACTACCATGAGATACCATCTTACACCAGTGAGAATGGCACATATTAAAAAAACTAGCAACAAATGTTGGCGAGGATGTGGAGAAAAAGGAACTCTCCTGCACTGCTGGTGGGAGTGCAAACTGCTCCAACCACTATGGAGAGCTGTGTGGAGATTTCTGGACCTACTAAACATAGAGCTTCCATAGGATCCAGCAATTCCACTCCTAGGTATTTACCCAAAGGACACAGAAACATCAATTCCAAAGAGCACCTGCACCCCTATGTTTATAGCAGCACCGTTTACAATAGCTAAGCTTTGGAAACAACCCAAATGCCCAAAAATAGATGACTGGATCAAAAAGATGTGGTACATATACACCATGGAATATTACTCAGCATTCAAAAAAGATAAACACATGCAATTTACAGCAACATGGATGGCGCTGGAAGGGATCATGCTCAGCGAAATAAGCCAGAAAGAAAAAGAAAAATACCGGATGGCCTCACTCATAGCAGGAATCTAGAAAACTTAAATAAGGGACCAGGAAAATGAATAACTATAAGAAAGTGAAAATCAAAATCAACAAAAAACTATGAACCAGGGGGGTGGGGACGGGGAGGGAAGGGATTGGGGTCAAAATAAGGGGGTTGCAATTGTATGGGGAATATAAAAATAAAATTTATTTAAAAAAAAAACCCAACATCATCTAGTTGTTCATGATACTGTATAAAAGTGTCAGTATTCCTACTGTGAGAATGCTGAATATTAACAACGTACTCAGTTAATTAAACACTAAGTATTCAATTTTCTACTGTATGTAAGATACTTTATAAGATACTGTGAAGGACAGAAACTTGATTAGTTCTTAGGCTCTAGATTCAGGCATCCTGAAGTCTAAGTAAGGAAATAAGATATCCACATAACTAAAATTCAAAATAAAAAAGACAAGTGTTATCATAAGGGAATTCGAGAGGAAAATATAGTTTAGAAGTTAGAGGGTCAGAGAAGGCACAAAAAAGAAAGAGACACTGGAATTTGGGAGCCTGAGAAACCTGGACCCCTCAATAAGTCCTTTTTGGCTTAATAGAGCCAAGATCATGACTTCTTTGACTGAAAAGACCATTATTAAGATTAAAGGACAGTCTATTCTAAGAAGGAATAGTTGATGACTATCAACTATCAACTAATAGTTATATTAACTTATATTCATTCATCACATTGTTCTTCATTTTATCTTTCCAATGCAGACAGTTAAAATTTTACTTTACTGTAGACTGGTTAATTGTCTGTATAATGACAACTGGAAAAGCTATGGTAACTGTGAACAACTGAAATGTGTTTGGCCATATGATTAAAGACAGAAAAATATCTTTTTAAAATGAATGTAGGGATTAACTTTCCTTTAAAAAATTCTGTAAACTGAAAATAATATTTCTCTATTCACATGAAGAGAAAATTACAATAAATTTATATTTCTACCTAAAAGCAAACTTTATTAAAGCAGAAGCCAGGCAAAAGGAATTAAACAAAGATTCATTTTCTTTACACTGTTTTTTTTTTGGATTCAAGTAAATCACTGATAAAATAAGTATTAGATTTCTGGAAGTAACTCAAGCAGGAAAAAATAAAGAATCAAACAGTAGGATGATTTAGTAAAAATTTCTACAATGTACTATATATACAATCTTAAAAGGTTGTTATAGTTTTTAAAGGTGTCTATAAATGTTCATTTAATTAAAAATATCATTGACCAATTCAATGCTTAAACTAAGTGCTGTTAAAACTGTAGAGTCTTGCACATAATACCAACATTAATTTAGTAAGCACTTTTCTTCATAATGTGGGGAAGAAGCAATAAATACAAAATTCCAGTGTAAGTCTGGTGTATATGCTCTCTCCTGTTCTCACACAAACATGTGTTACACAATCCTTGGAGAAGAAAGATGTCAGGTTTTGGAGAAAGACACTTTTGCTCCTTGCTAACTAGTTCTCTTAGGAAAATTACTTAAATATTTCTCTCAAGTCTCTAATTCTTCACTGAGAAATGGAGATGCTATTACAAGAGGTTGTTGTTAATAAAACAGTTGAGATAATATAAGCAAAAGTTTTAGCAAGGTTCTTGACATACAAAGCCAAACAAGAAAATATTTCCAAAGCAAAAAATGAAAGGAAACCAAAAAAATCTCTACTTGGCTCATTGTCATATGCTCACAAAATGTTTCCTTTTTATATATAACCTCTTCACATTCTTTTGTCTTCTCTCTTCATACTCTTTGATAGGCTCCAAGTTTCCTACCACAGCATGTATTTCTTTCCCCCAGTCAATGAAGTGATTTTCCAAAAGTTCCCCTATAGACTGGAATTAACATTTACACATCTAACCTACACATTACTTACCTAAAAAGTGTAAGGATAGAAATTCCATGATGATGAATAGTGTTTTCATCACCATATAAAAGCTCTGCTTTGTTACTGGTAGGAGCACTGGCTGCTTCTTCATCCAAAAGAACTAGTAACATTTTCACAGTATCTCTGCCACAGTATGCGGTGCCGTGATTTATGGCATAAGATTTTGGCTAGAACAAAAATAATTTTAAGTAAATATAATGATCACTCCAGCTGGGTCAATCAGCCACTCTTCCATTTAATGTGCCACTGCTTCCCTTCATCCTCTATTGTTTAAGTAATTAAAAAGCAGCCACAAAAAGTGGCTTTAAGCCATACTAAGCCATTTTTCTCCCTTAAGCCATACTGAAAATCAATCTAATCAACTTCCCTAAGCACAAAAGAATACAGAATATTCTCAAAGGAAGACAATAGGTTCTGATAATAACATTAGACTTTACTTTTTTTAACTTTTTTTTAAAGATTTACTTATTTATGCATACAAGAGCTGGGGTACAGGCCAGAGGTGAGAGGGGTATGAGAGGATTCACCAGAGACAGAGTGGGGAACAGAACAGGCCGATTGATCGAAGTACACTGCTGAGGGGAGCAGCGGTCCAGTCAGGAGAGGTCTGCTGCACCATGTGGGTTGCTCCCTGGCCGGCCGGAAATCAAACTCGTGCGGCAGTGGCTGAGGATAGCTTCATAGCTTGAGTCTTAACCCCTTGCACCACCAGGGAGGCCCCAACATTAGACTTTAAATCAGAAAATTTAGCCACTATCTCTCTTTGACCTCAGTATCATGATTTGATTTCTCTGTGTATTTTTTCTCTCTTATCCCAAAGAGAGATGACGTTATGGCAATCTGAATACCAACTCCACAGAAAGCTGAAAATATCTGATCAAATGCAAAAATGAAAAACCATTTGACATTTATTGATCCAATAATCATCATAGTACATACTATGTCCCAAGCACTCTGCTTATTCTTAAGGCTACAAAGGCCAAAACCACCTCCTCAAAGAACCTGGTCACCCAAGATAAAGGAAATAATGTTTTGTAGAAGGATAATGAAACTAACCAATAATTCCATGACAGAGTGCTAAGTGCTGTTTCTAACAGAACTTACACAAAGGGCAGTGGGAGCACACAAAAGGGTATGATCAATTACTTTGCAGTCAAGGATGGCTTCCTGGAGGAAACACATGAAAATAAGAGCGAGCACTAAGAGAGCACATGACACTCTCAGGTACCAGGTAGCATAAAATGGATAAAGAATGGAGTAACCAGGGAGAGAGTTATATGAGATGAACCTGGGAAAGATTAAAAAGGGAGGGTTGGAATAACTTTGCGATTAGAGAAAAGGATACAGAAAAATGTAAAATAATAATACATAGAGATATAAGCTAGTACAAACTCTAGTTGGGTTTGATGCTAACTTACCATGGTGTGTGCTGTATAGTTGGTAAAACTGCATTACTTCACTGTGCTTCACTTACACTCACTGGTGAAATAGGGAGTGATGACAGTGCCTAACCCACAGAGTTGCTGAACATTGTGCCTAAATATCAGAGTTGCCTGCTGTGACATGCGTTCGAGCTGAGTCACTTTCTTCAGCTTTCATCAACACAGTGTTGGCCTCCTTTCTCTACTTGGCTCACTCACGCTACAGGGTGAAGTATAATATATAGCTACTCTGGAATGATAACAAATTACCCATCACGATATGGTGCTGAACATATATATTTCTTCAGTGCCAGAGAAGTCCATGTTGCTTAATATTAACTTCATGGAGAATCATGACAATATTCTGCAGAGTTCTGATTTCGGTTGAAAACGTAAAATTAAGAACTAGGTTCTTTATTTCTTATAACAGGAAATGGGAGAGATTGGAGCTTCTAATTTCCTGAGTAGAGACAGCTCCTGATTTATACTTCTAGTAATAACCTGGTTTTCATTAGCACCGCGTTGGCTACAGGAAGTGTTAACACACATGGGACAAAAACCCAGAATCCCCACCCACTTTCCACCTTCAAATTAATGTAAAAACTTGCATTATTATAGAAAAATAGCAAAAAAGTAGTCTCAGAAGGTTGCAAATAAATAAATGAGTAATAAAAAAAAAAGTAAAGTCTTTCTTCATACATTGGCTCTTACAATCACACCTAATGAAAAGGGGCTTTTGTTACTGGATTAAACTGCAACAAATGGATTATAACACATACTTCCAGATTCTGTTCTAGACCTAAAAGCAAGGTAGTCAAGCTCTCGTGTAATGCTGTAATAGTTGTAACATTTCATTCTCTATGTAAAAGAAAAAAGCCAAATGTTACAGAAATGTATAGCTAAAAGATCTCTGCATATAGGAGAAATTCCTAATAGTTGCAATAGGCTAGCAATGGAGAAAGAAAATAAGATCTTAGAGATAGAAAAGAAATCTACATTTCTGTCACTGTTCTATACAATCCCTTGGTACTGAGGCAGAATCAGAGTAACCAGGCTTTTAAAAATCTGAGTGAATGGTTGTTTATTATAAAAATTAACTATACTGAAAAATATGGCAAAATTCCTTTCTATCCATCAAGAATTATAAATCTCTAGTGCTGCAAGAGATACTGAAGACGATCCAATCCCCTACTTGAATAAATACAAATACTTTGGCCCAAAGATATTATGTTTTATCCAACTCAAACATAATCCTACACAATCCTATTGAGAAATAAATTTTCAACAACATCTTACAACACAGGAAACACATTTGTCTGACTCAGGAGCAATAGTAAACTATTTCTACAAGTAGAAGAAAAATGTTTTGTGGAAGGATAATGATAAATAAAAAGCTCATTACCCGTGCAGGACTGATGTCAGTGGTGTTCACAGCTACATCTTCTTGTTGAGAATTGACAATATTTTTAATCCTCAAATCCAAATCCTGAGCAACTTCCTCTACTGCTTTATAAAAAGGATCCCTGCTGTTCTGGCCTTTAATCAATTGCATTTTTATCACTGAGAGTAGCTGGCCCCCTGCAATGCTGAAAATAGAAATAAGATCGCTTTTATAATAGTATTAAAAGTGACAATATGCTTTTAAACTTGAAAATATAATTCTCAGAGTTAATCAACACTTTTCAAAGAATATGGCTTTGATCTTATAAATCAAACAGTAATACTTTAAAGAATGAGAATCATTAGCAACAAACTTTAAAGTTTTTCTAAAAGCAAGTCATTTCAACAAGGTAAATTACTTCTTCCTTGATTTGAAAGCTGACAGAAAATGATATAGTTATATATGACATATGGTAACAGATTAAGATGTACATAGACACACTATATACTTTAAATATGTACCTTTAGATACACTAAGATACCTCTTTCAATTGAATACCTAGAATTTTACCTTTAACTTACTCTTAAAACCAAGTCAGTAAGTATCATTACTCTTAAATCACAGGTGAGAAAATTGAGTTTCTAAAAGGTCAAAAAACATGTCCAAAAACAGAGTGTTCTGGGTTAGGAAGGATGTGTTAAAAACACATTACTGCAGCCTAATATGAGAAGGGTTAATAAAAGAAAGAGAAAATTAAGCCAGTTAATACTCACTGAAAGCAGAGCAGAGACTGGAACAATTGTGGTCAACAGGCAAGTAGTTTTTTAAAAAAGATTTATTTATGCATATAAGAGCTGGGGTGCAGGCCAGAGATGTGGGGGGTGAGAGGATTCACCAGAGACAGAGTGGGGAACAGAACAGGCAGATTGACCAAAGTACACTGCTGAGGGGAGCAGCGGGCAAGCAAGGAGAGGTCTGCCTCGCCATGTGGGTAGCTCCCTGGCCAGCCAGGGATCAAACTCGTGCTGCAGAGGCTCCAGACTGCTTCATAGCGCGGTGCTTAACCCCTTGCGCCACCAGGGAGGCCCCAACAGTTAAGTGTTTTGACAAACCTGAAATCAATTGTTTCTTTATACGAAGCCAGAACCTGAATGAATTTAGTTTGCAGTTTCTGCTCTAGAAAGCTGACCTAAAACCAGTGCAAGAAAGAAGGTAGGAGGAAGGATTTGGGTCCATTTGAAGAAGAAACTAGCAGTGCCCAAGAATGGAAGAGGGCTCTTTTTGGAAGTCAGAGGATCTCCATCACTGGGGTATGGCTGGAAAGGCTACACAGGTACCAAACGTGAAGGTGGCGTGTTCTGACCATGGAGTCGCCCATTTTCAACCTTCATTCTGCTAGCTACACTGTGATTTTTATAGTGACATAAAATTAAATTAGGACATTTCACCTTCACCCTTTCATTGCCATGGTTTATGTTTTAAGGAATAAGCCAACTTCCCTAACAAACATTAGAAATACAATTATTCACATTTAGAAAGCTGGTCCAAATAGAGAAGGAAAGTTAGACGAAACCTGCAGAGGTTTCAGGTTTCACTGTCAAATTTGATCTTCCAAATTTGCCTGATCAGAATCATATCCAGCATTTTTAATTTATTAATTTGTCTGCTTATCAGGGCATTTGGGAATCATTTAAAAGATATGTTATCCAGCATTATTAATGATTTTCAATGAAAGGGACAATCAGAAGGCCTAGTTTGCCATACACCTATAGTATAAGTACACAGGCATTTTCTGTTTCAGCTGCTTTTTTTTTTAAATTTTCAATTAAAAACACAGGAAGTAATTGGATAAAGTGCAGTCAAAAATGAAAACACAATGAAGACTATTTGCTTTTTCTGAGAATTAATCTCTAATGAAAAATTTGTAGAGCCGATTCAAAGGATAATAAAGGATAATAAGAGAATGTCTTAGTGTCAACTGCAGTTGTAAAAAAGTGTTTTGAATGTTATCAAAGTCACCTTGCCCCCTTTTCTTTTTTTCAACAGGAATAAATATGCTAAATTTAAAAAATTATATAATTCACTGAATCAATTGTATTTAGGTTAAATGTAATAAGGTGCTATGTAAAATTTATCAAAAATCCCTCTCATATTTTCAAATGAGAAAAATTTAACAGAATTTTGGACTGGACAATTCCAACATGAGTATCCCATTAATGCATATTTAGGCCAATATATATATATATATATATATATATATATATATATATAAAACACTGCAGGTGTGAATTAAGAAGTCACTGAGTAATGAAAATGAAATACAAACTTTAAACATTTAAACAATGGGGAACTAATTTATGTGACCTGAAACCTCTAACTTAAGACATTTTTCAGATGAGAGCATAGTATGCATTTTGTAGTGGCACCTACTGGCAAAGTATAGAAATACAGCCGAACTATAGTTAAAGATGGCCTGATGAGAAGCCAGCAGCGACGGGGTAAATGTGAGAATCAATTCTTGGATTTCTGTCCTGTCTACCTATTTCCATCCTTTCCCAAATTCAAAGACTATTGTGATTCCCGACTGTCCCCAATTTATTTTAAAACAAGTAGTATAAACTCACCCTCAGTTACAAGAGTTAAAAACATTTTTATCTCTAAGCTTTCAGGTTGAGAGACCTCAGAAATTGAAGATCATCCTGAAGTTATGGTAAAGGCAGGGTTGCAAACAAGACTGTGAATGACATTCCAGTCAGGAGCATCTGGACCCGTGAATTTCTTCCCTGAGCAGTCAGTCTTGTGCACTTTTTTAGCGCAGCATGGAAAGAAGGATTACTCTAAAGAAAATGAAGCAAGAGACTCTCCAGATGAGAGGCACTAGGACTAAAAATAGGGAGTGAGTATAAGTCTCCACACTGAGACTCAGCATCATTCTAGCCGACCTCAAATTCCAGAATATCGCTAGCCCGACTTACTGCTTTCAGAAAGAAACTAGAGGATGCCTCTGTAGAAATTTTTTAGGAAGTACCAAGGAAAAGCCAAAAGTTACTAGCATCTGGAGAATTCCCACCACAAGAGTCAATAGGCTACTGTGCTGTAACCAAGTTGACTGTCTAGGCCTCATTCTCAAATATGAAAGGACAGTCCAGAATCACCACCCATTTCAGGAGTAACTCTAATATGAATGAGGGCAAAACAAATGAAAACATTCAACTTAGACAAATCAAAGATCATTCCAGAGGCAAGTAAAAATAATCTTAAAATTAAATATAATTTTAGAGAAATGGATGGGATATAAGATCACACATAATCAAATGTGAGAATGAAGACATTTATCTCTCATTTACTTTTTCTCAAAAAGCTACTTGAGCAAAATAAAAGGTTTACCAATTGTAAATAAAGTCATGCAATCCAGGAAGGTAGAGACAAAGAAACCTCACAAAGTATTGATGAAACTTCAAGGTTGCAATCTGAAACAGGCCTATCAAGCAAAAGCACAGATTGAATAAAGATAGAAAAATCTCCAAAAATAGTATCTTCAAGGGCAAAAACCAGGACCAATAGATGACCGGATATCAAGAAGAAATTGTAGTTTTGTTGACAAGCTTGATAGAGTATTGATAAATATATAGGAAATAAAAAATAAAAAGTAGATAATCATTACCTCTAGAAAAACAAAAATCTGTACAGAAAAAATATATAATCACAGTGTAGCATATAGTTTAGCAGTAGGTGATATTTACAGAAGTAATAATATAATCTTTTAAATATGATTTAACCTGAAATTGCAATATAACTATATTAGAAGGATGAAAGAAGAGAAGCATATGTATTGTCTGTCTGTGTATAGAGGGAGAATGTTGGGAGGTTAGTGAGTGGGTTTCAAATCCTCATATTTCTTGGTTAAAAAAGCCAACTGATGAAGTTAAAAGCTGAAAAAGCAAAATTAGCCATATTAAAATTTCATTTAAGTAAGGTAAATATAAAAACAAAACAAAAGATAATTATCATTTCCTCTGAGGAGTACTTTTCCATTTGATTTTGACAACAGGTACTATATTGCTTTGTTTTGCTAAAAATATTTTAAAAAATTAATTATCTGTTATCTTAGAATAAAAAGCCAGTCAACATACTATCTAGAAGTTCAGGAGATATCACTAATATGGACTAGAAGTGATATTCAAAAACATCTTCCAAATTTACTTCTTTGTAATGGATAACCCTATAAGAAGATAGAAAGATGCAATTCAGGATAAAAACCTAAAACCTGAGTAAAAATTATTTTGGAATCTTAAAATGAAAAGAAGTGGAATAAGACCAGTGATTAAGAAATGGGTTCCAGGATCAGAACCAAGCTCAGATCCCAGCTATATTATTAATAACAACATGAGATAGTAAGTTACTTACTCCCAGTGCTTCAGTTTCTTCCACTCTGATATGAGTGGCACATAGTACCTATTACATAAAGTTGTTGTAATGATCAAATGATAATCCCCTTAAAGAACCGAGTAAAACTTATGACACATAATAAAAGTGTTCAAAAAAGACCAACTGTTTTGATTAGTACTATGCTATGGCCTACCAACCAACCAGACAGTGATCTACCATGATTGCTAATATATGCAGCCTAATTCTGTGCCCTACCAATATTAATTTAAAAATCACTCACTAGGGCCTCCCCGGTGGCGCAGCGGTTGAGCACTGGGTTGCGAAGCTGCCCGCAGCCTCTGCAGTGCCGTTTCGATCCCCAGTTGCTCCCCAGCCATGGGAGGAGGGTCCCACATGGCACGCAGACCCCTCCTGCCACCTGCTGCTCCCCTCAGCAGTGTACTTCGGTCCTTCTGCCTGCTCTGCTCCCTGCTCTGGCTCTGGTGAATTCTCTCACCCTCCCGTGCTTCTGACTGTACCCAGTGCTTGTATAAATAAATAAATAAATCTTTAAAAAATAAAAATAAAAAAATAAAATAAAAATCACTCACTATAGACTGATACCATAAATGGAAATCCATCAGATTAAAAAACTTTTCTTCCATATCACATAAAAGGGAATTCCAGATGAATCAAAGATTAACATACATTGAAAAACAAAAACAAAAACCCTAAGCAGAAAATAGAATAAAGAATTCATCCTATCTTTGTTTACTCATTTTTGGTACAGGTTTCCTTTATTGCTAAATATTTTAAAGAAATTATCAATTTGGTTATTTCCAGTCCTCAAAAAAATGTATTTCTTTCAGATTAAAAAATAAAATGGGGGCCTCCCCGGTGGTACAGCGGTTGAGCGCTGGATTGCGAAGCTGCCAGCAGCCTCTGCAGCACCAGTTCGATCCTCGGCTGCTCCCCGGCCACCAGAGGAGGGTCCCACATGGCACACAGACCTCTCCTGCTGCCCGCTGCTCCCCTCAGCAGTGTAACTCATTCCTTCTGCCTGCTCTGCTCCCGGCTCTGGCTCTGGTGAATTCTCTCACCCTCCCGCGCTTCTCACTGTACCCAGTGCTTGTATAAATAAATCTTTAAAAAAATATAAATAAATAAATAAATAAATAAATAAATAAATAAAGTAAAATAAAATGGTAAGTCCTATTCTCTAATCAAATTTAATTTTAGTATGTCTCTTGAGTTTGGTAAAAATTTTGGAATCCCTGGTAGGAAGAAATTTAGGGAGAACGGTCATGTGATTACAATTTATTTATGTAGTTATCCTGTTTCTTCTCCCTACTGTTTGATCTCACACACGGTCATTTCAATAGCTCTTATATTTCTACCTCTCATTCTACAAAGTGTTAAAGCTAGATTAATAATAATTTGCAAAATAATAATAATAATAACTTGCATTTGTAATTTATGAAAAGTTATTACCTTGGATTTGGTATTTCTCCAAGAATTTCATCTAATTTGTCAATGAAGTTAATAAAATTAGACAATCCTTTTACATGTGTCATTAAAGGATCAGATGGTGATGGTGCGTATCCTTTCCCTCCAAGTTCTATTGTTCTAATAAATGATGTGGCCACCTATGTGTCAAAACAAATGATTTAGTTACATCTAATGATTTAATAAGTTAAAAGTACCATTTATAGTTATACTTACATAATTATTGGAATATTGGGAAAGTGAAACATTTTTTATGACTCATGCCACACTTTGACTGAGAAACAAGTAATCAAGTAAACAGGTGCCATGCAGATTCATGCCAGCAAGGATGATGGCAATAGAAACAGAGATGAGAAACTGGGTTAGGGGACAAATCAAGGGCACAAGAACATATGATAAGAATCATATCATTGACTATAAAGAATTAGTTTATGAATATATACATTGAATACTGGCTACTAGAATTGTTAAATAGAACAAAGAGGTTTTAAGTGCCTACTGTGTTGATAAATTAAGGTTGGGCAATTAATGCAGTTCTTCTAAGTCTTGGCTTTTTTATTTATAAAATGAAGATTTCAACTAATCATTAAGTCTTTTCTAGTTTTCATATCCTAGGATTATTCAATCATGTATAATTCAAAAGATCTTGCCTTACAATGATGAAAATATGTATGTGATGACAATACATAAGAGCATCTCCATCAAAGATGAAATATTTTGAAGCAGCATTTTCCAAAGTCTATCCTAAGAAGGAAAAATTCTATGACATTTTTACACTTGGGAGAAAATCCCTTGGCCAAGTAGCATAGGAAACAACAGATTAAATAACAAGGTTAACTTCAGCAGCTTTCTTTATAACAGGACTTTACAGACTTCTTGATACATAAACATATATTATATATATCCAATAAAGGTATATAAAATTTCTAAACATGTTGTCCTTGGAAACATTTGTTCAAGGAACATATAACATGGACTTTTTTTTATTATTACTAATGATGTGGGGCTCCCCTGGGGGCGCAGGCAGTTGAGCACAGTGCTGTGAAGCTGTCTGCAGCCTCTGCAGTGCGGGTTTGATCCCAGCCAGCCAGCAAGAAACCCACATGGCATGGCAGACCTCTCCTCTCACCCACTGCTCCCCTCAGCAGTGTATTTCAATCAGTCTGCCTGTTCTGTTCCCCGCTCTGTCTCTGATGAATCCTCTCACCCTCCCGCATCTCTGACCTGTACCCTGGTTCTTGTACGTGTGAATAAATAAATCTTAAAAAAAAAAAAAAAAAAAAAACTCATGACGTGCTATTATTTTACATACTTATTTGTCTTTTCACAATTCTCCCTTATCAAATTTAAAGGTTATAGTAAAAAATTAAAATACCATGGATTTTCAAATACAGAGTTAGAACATAAACAACTTAAAAATTGCTTTATGATATGATAGGTACAAGAATTCTTCATTATGGTACATAGAATCTTGAAAAATCTTGAAATGCAAGATGGTCATACCAAAAAGATAGACATTTGTTTCTCTCGAGCCGCATGTTTCAAATCGGTGAAGGCTTCTATTCCAAGTCCTCTATCAGGAATATTGAGAATATGTGCCAGAGCCAGGTCATTTTTTGAATTCACAAGTAGGTTTAAGTATGAGTAGATAATCTTCTTTGCTAGTAACTGTACCTATAGAATAAAATATTGATATTTTCTTTAATGAAATTGTCCTGAATCCATAAATAATCTCTGTGTTACAGGCAGCAAAAATATATATGATGACTCAATGACAGTATCTCACTTAACTATCTGGGAAAAGATAAATATCTTATAAACCAAAACTCTGTTGGACAGTCAACATATTCTTGCTCATGAAACCAACTTAATGCCAGTGAGAACATATGAATAAGTCTTCAGAAAGTGGACAATATAAAGAAAGTAAATTCCAGAGATGAAAAACACAATAACTGAAACAAATTTGTTGAAGAAGGAGCTCAACAGAAAATTGGAGAAAGTATCAGGGAACTTAAAGATGTAGAAATGGAAATCACCAAATCTGAAAAACAACGGGAAAAAAATGAAATAACTAAAGTGACCTGTGAGACAATTTAAAGAGGTCCAACATACATGCAATTGGAATCTCTGCACAGAAGTGAAAGGAGCAGGGAAAAATATTTGACAAAATTATGGTGAAAAAATCCTAAATGTGGTAGAAAACATTAATTAATAGACCCAAGGAGTCACTCAAGTAGCAAAAACACAAAGAAAACCACTCCTATAGTGATGCATTGCTTATCAACAAGGATGCATTCTGAGAAAAGTGTCATGGGGTGATTTTATCATTGTGCAAATGTCACAGAATAATTACAAAAATATGGACAGTATAGGACTACTACACACCTAGGCTATATGATATAGCCTATTGGGGCCACCATTATGTGTCTGTGTGTGTGCACTCTATAGTTGACTATAACATTGTTAAACAATACATAACTGTACACATTATAATGAAACTCTGCAGCCACAGATGTGAGAAAAATTTGAAAGTAGCTACAGCAAACAGATATATTACATGCTGGAAAACAATGATAAGGATAAAGTATCTAAGCTAGAAGTCAGGAAAACATATTAAATATGCTAAGAAATGACCTTAAAAATTACTATACAATTTTACAAATCCAGATAGCACAGTATTTGCAAAGGAAATACAAGACTCACAGATCATGGAACAGAGTAGAATCCAGAAATAGACCCACATAGATATTACCTTTGCAGAGAGGTGTCCTGATTTTGCAATAAGTAGTCATTCACATTCTCACTTTCTTATCACCTTATTTAACTCTCTGCAGAGATTTTAACACTTCCTGAGATTTTATTTTCTTAATCTTTCCACTACTTTATGAGTCCCATGAGAGGAAATGACTTAGGCTTAGGACCTAGGAGAATGACCAGCACAACAGTTGGTAATTAATCCATTTTTGTTAAAGGTTTCAATATTTTTTAATGGTAAATAAAAGAAAACTTAATACATGTATCTATTATAATAGGGCACTTATTAATAAAAATTAATAAAAATTTACTGGGACCAAATAAGCACTCATGTTTTCATTATATTATCTTAAGGAAAAAAACTATTGTACAGCTAAACTAAAATCATTTTTAAGACTGGTCCTAAAATTTTATAAAATAAGGTATAACAGTTTTCTGCTTACATTTCAAATGTTATCTTATCTTCACTTCTACAGTAAATTATAATACTTCATATGAATCTATAATACAAAAGTTTCCATTTTAACTTTAAGGGCAAGGGTCTCTAAAATGCATGAATCTCTTCTTTAGTCCTTTGACATTTGGGAACAGTAAGAAATTTTCAAAAAATCAAAGCAGAGGAAAAGTGACAGACACATCAGAAAGTTTTAAACTTTTTCTACATCTAATTTAATGCAATCACTCTCTCACTGTGCTGCTAGTATCCACAAATAATGGTGTTTTACCAGTACCTATGATCCTTATTGCATACAAAACCAGCGCTTCAACTCCTACATCTAAACTTGCTCCTTCAGGCTAGGAAATTCTGTCCTGACCTGTGATGCAAGGCAAAGATTAAGGGAAAACATCTTGGAGTCCTCACAACTAAGAGTGTTTCTTTTAGCTATGACTGTTATTGGAAATCTCTCCCTATCATTATGGTCAGATAACACGGCAGTTATGGTTTCCCTGCTCTTGTATTTGTAAGTGGGTTTTAAGGAGGCTCTCTGGAAAAGCAGTCCACATAAATACAGTCATGAGGTCCAGAAACAAGGGCCTAAATTGAAAAATCCACAAGATTGAAGCTTTCACCAAGATACCAAAACTAAAGATACTGTTCTGTTTATTTGTTTAACAAACTGATTCTCTCCATGCCACAAAATATTTGCAATGTTTGTTTAGAAATTAAACAATTTTATTTAAGCTTTCTGACAACTCCAAGTTTGTTTTCCTACCCCTTAATTACTGAAGTGCAGATATTCTATCAGTTTGAAAAAAATCAGTTTTCTGATTTTTAACAGATATTAAATATCTGTTAATAATATATACAGGTATATTTTTACTTTCTTTGCCAACACATCATTTCTTACATATAATGACAAAAAAAAAAAATGGGACTACAACTAATAGTAGAAATTTTTATTTAACTGATGATTTTCTTTTGGGAACTTTATTTCTTCCCTTTACAACTTCAGAATCTCTAAAGCATTAGTTTAGTATCTCAGGCAAAGTAAAATAAAGTGAGAAAACAATATTGTTTCTCAATTCATTCCATTCATCTGCTTGAGGATTAGAGTCGAACATCAGTAAGCACAACTGGTGATCACAATGTGTCTTTGCGGGACTTCAGTCCAAAAACTCACTTCAGAATTTTAACAGAAATACATTTCCTTCAAAAAATAGTTTGTAAAAAGAAAAATTAAAGCCTACAAGAAACAGAAAATGATTGAAGATGGCTGCTACTTTAATAATCCTCATGAAATCAAATTCATTACTTAAGTAGTAGATTAAAATTATTTTAGCAAATACAATCTAAGCAGGCAAAAGAGAAAAAAGAAAAAGATTAATACAAGGGAACTATCAATTTTTACATGAGAAAACTATGATTACAATGAAGATGCATCAGTTTCTACATATACACTATAATCCTTTGTCATGAGTATTCCTTTAAGATAATCTTTCAGCTCTTTAAGCAAAATTCTAAAAGGTTATATCAAATTTTTTTTTTTTATAAGTTTTTTTTTTTTTTTTTTAAGATTTATTTATTTATTTATACAAGCACTGGGTACAGTCAGAAGCGCGGGAGGGTGAGAGAATTCACCAGAGCCAGAGCGGGGAGCAGAGCAGGCAGAAGGACCGAAGTACACTGCTGAGGGGAGCAGTGGGCGGCAGGAGAGGTCTGTGCGCCATGTGGGACCCTCTCTGGTGGCCGGGGAGCAGCCGGGGAACGAACCGGCGCTGCAGAGGCTGCGGGCAGCCTCGCAACCCAGTGCTCAACCGCTGCGCCACCGGGGAGGCCCTATATCAAATTTTTATATCAAATTAGCTTTTATAAATATAATTAGTTCATTCCTCTTAATTAAAGTCACGCTACAGTTGTTTCCTCCCAGAAGAGCCTGTAAGATACGATCAAAGCTAGAAAAGATCTGTAACTTATCTCCATGTATGGATGTACTCCTTAAACCACTGAGAAAAGATTAGGTTTTTGTCAAGGTGGAGCAGGAGGCAAAACTGGAGACTGTTTAAGCAGAAAAGTAGTATAAAGCGAGAGAAAATAGTTACAATTCACTAAAAGGAACCAGATCTGGGCAGGAAACAAAATATAAAATACAAAATGAAATATTCAGCATCAGTTATAAAGTATTTGCTACAATTTTTTCAATTGTACATATCCTCTCAGGAACCAAGCATTTAAAACAGTAATTTGTGATGTTCACCAAACACACATAGACTCAACAGCTCTGGCAATCTGGACATTCATTTCCTTTTCCGATACTTAGAATGATACCTACTTTTATACAGATCTCACTATCTTGGCCCAAAACAATGAAGGAACTGATTATCAAGTTTTTGCCAATATTTAATATATTACTTTTTGCAAATACAGCTTTACGTAAATTTAAAAAAATTAAATAACTATAATGTACAATCAAATATATAATGATTTGAAGACGACCAAATCCTGCTTTAATTTACTCACAACTTATCAGTACCTTTTTGTTATCTTGACTGTGTCCACTCACTGGTGATGCTGGCATATAAACATCAGTTTTATCATCTACTGTATACTGCTTACCAGTCAGAAAATCCAGTAGCTGACTCTGCAGAAAATACAGAATATTACTAATAAAATGACATGGCACTTATGAAAAGTACTTCACATCTTGCAGTAGTATCACTGACATTCCTGTGTACCCAACATTTTGTTTTCTGACAAAAGCATATATGAAATTAAACTTCCTAATAAAACACTTCAATCTGTTTCAACAGACTCATAGGGTTTTACAAGTTTAGAGTTTAAAAATAACATTAGAATGTACTGAGTCTTTAATTTCTATGGAAGATGAAAATCAAAGACAAAGAAAAGTCTTACTTAAAGCCCTCAATAAATGCCTTATTTTAGTATATCTAGTATCTAAATACAATTCAAACAAAATAGATTCCAAGAAGAAAATAACACATAAAGAGATAGTTGCTTTCATCCTGCCACATTACTCAACTTCTCCACATTATTTTATTTTTTCTAAAGGATACACACACATACATACACACCTTGATGAGCAAACCTAAAGAGGTACAAACTGAATTAGCAAAATTCAACAAGATTGCCATCCACTTTTCTTCTCAGCTATTGCCACATTATAACTAAAATAACTTACCAATATACACTTCTTCAACAGCAACAGAGCTTATCACAGCTTAGCTTCTACCCATATGAGCTACTGCTCATGAAGACAAAATGAAAATAACTAAAAAGCCTTTCCATAATACATACAATCTTTTAATCTCAAAATTTAAGATTACCGAAAAAGTAATTTATTACTTTCTATACTAATTTATTAAAATCTAAATAGAAGTAATTCTCAGTAATTCTTATATTTTCAAAAGAGGTATTGAAAACAAAGATTGTCTTTTCTAAAAACACCTTATCATACAAAATGGAAGAATATTAGCTCTGATTAAACTATTTTCATATTTAACTACATGTAAAGTATATTACTTTAAATCAGTGCATCTTAGGGTATGGTCTAAGGAATCCTAACGTTCCTAATGCACACTCAGGGGTTCCAGGAAGCCTACCTTTTTCCAACTATGTATCAACATGAAGTCATATTTTCTTTAGATACTTTAATCAAAGCAACATATCCAACAGAAGCAGATAATACTCTCATTAGCTTATCAGGAGATCATCTTTGTTGTTCCTACAATCCAATTGATGCTTACGTTTGATTATCCTCTCTAAATCAACTATGTGAAAAGTAGCCAAAATAATCGCCACAAACAAGCAACGGAAAAAAAACTCAGCCCCTATAAGCATCCTTAACCGAGTGTGGATGAGGATATGTGGGTGTGTACGTGTTTTGAGAAAGTTACAATAAATCAAAGGTTTTCATGATAGCCAGGTGAGGTAAAGACAGCAAACTGCCTGCCATTCTCCCCTTTAGTTTTCATTTTGGTATGTTACTACTCAAAATAAGGACTATCTTTTCCAAGCTCCCTAGCACCTTGGTAAGGGCATATGACTAAGCTTTGGGTAACGGGTAGGAAGCAAAAAGACTGATAACTCTTTAAAAAAGAAAAGAGCTATTCTTGCATACTCCTTCCTGCTCAGAGGAATGTTAATATAATGTCTGGGGCTCCAGCAGTTATCTTAGACCACAGATGAGTGGTGGAGGTCAAGAAGAAACATAAGAGATCAGAATGACAAAAAATAAAACAAAAACAACACCTATGTCTCTGATAACCATGGAGCTGTAACCACAGGCCCAGGTGCTTACCTGCAGGGTGAGATAAACATTCATCTTCTTAAAAAAAAACTGTTGTTATAGTTTAATACTACTGTACATAGCCAAAAAAAAAAAAAAAAAAAAAAAACTACTTATATTTCAACCAAATAAAAATAACACAAGTTGAACAAAATTTACCACCAAAAAAATTCTTTCAAATAATGACTAGCTAAATTTTCTATTCTTAAAGATTTATTTTTTATTTATTTATACATACAAGAACTGGGGTGTAGGCCAAAGGTACAGGGAGATAAGAGGATTTACCAGAGACAGAGTGGGGAGCAGAACAGGTGGATCTACTAAAATACACTGCTGAGGCGAGCAGCAGGCAAGACAGAGAGGTCTACTGCGTCATGTGGGTTAGCTCCCTGACCAGGAATTGAACTCATGCCACAGTGGCTGGCAATAGCTTGATAATGCTGAGACTCAACCCCTTGCGCCACCAGGGAGGCCCCTAAATTTTCTATTCTTAACAGGATCCAGGAAGCAAAAAACATTATCAAGATACTATAAATGCTGAAACTGTAGCTTAAAATAAAAACGAATCTGGCTGAATTTTAATTTAAGACAGAATTATTTTTAAAAATACTTACTGGGGATATGTTGGTACTATTTTCACAACTAGAAGTCAAAACACTACATTTGTTGTAGATATCAATGAGATCTATCATGTTGCTATTCTTTAAGAAATCATCGTAAGTCCTCCTAATGTCCTCATAATGGTCCATCACTTCCACATTTTCAGTTGTTATATTCAATTTCTCATGTAGTAAATACTTCCACGTCAATAAGACATCACTGAGAGAAACTGTAAACTCTCCAATGAGCTGAAAGAGACAATGCCAGAAATAAACAAAGTAGGGTACCAGAATATTCATTTACTTATAATTGAGGAGATAAGTACAAATTGATTGTTATAGTAGAATATATTGACACATTGGATTCTTGTGATTTTGGAGAGAACATCCAAGCTGAGCTATAGAATAATTTTAAGGTGAGATATAAAAGAAAAAGATTTGATGAATTCATAAAATATGAACAACTACGTTGTTTTGCACATGACAAAGCCGGCAAATATAGACATCGTCCTATTTCACAAAGTAGGGGGGCGGTGAGTGCTCAGCGAGCTACACTTAAGTACTATTGATTGGGGAAACATTTGACCCTGTTAATATTTAATTCCTTTTAGTTCTTTTAGCGAATGTATTTTTAATCTCTTGTTTAAAAATGGTCAGTGCCATAGTAATTTCCACATGCTACCATATTTCAAGTTAGTCTGAAAGATAATAAAGATGATAAACTTTAAATTTTTAAAAATGTTTCATTTCATTACTGTACCAGGGAAAGCAACAATACTAGTGCCAAAACTTTGAGTAACAGAAGAATTTTGATTCTTCCCTTTTCCCGGACACACAAAACAACAATAAATAAGTCCTAAAAATACCAAGGTCAAGTTTCTCTCTGGAAGTTGTCATATATTACTATAGTACTAATTAGGCAAAATTGTTCTTTTTTCCTCTTCTTCAATATCCACATGATAAACTATTTCACTGGATAATGTTGAACACTCTTTTTTTAAAATTGATTGCATTGTGTTCTCACTTTAGTATCCCAGATATTAATAATGGCATCCTCTAAAAAATAACAATTGGAATTCACTGAAAAAATTCTAAATACTTCTGTCCGATGCAGCATGTGTAACGGATATGCTTTTAATTTTTTTATATCATTGTACATTTTTAAACAAAATTTGCTTCTTCCCCCCCTCTAGGAGTAGTCCCCATAGAATTTCCTTCACCAATGCACTGGTGCACCATCACCACAGTCCCCTGTGTTCCTTCCTCCTTCTGATCCCTCTCTCTCCTCCTCCCCTGCAGGATGTCTCTGATTTATAATTGTTTGTTCTGTTTTGTGTAACAGATATTCTTAGGGATCAATATATGGTATTGTGAAATGTAGTATGCTGTTCTTATCCACGGTTAAATTCTATCACTATATTAGCAGTTTCTATAACACCAAGATCTGTCCATTAGTTGCATTTTAACAGAACTCTATAGTTCACTGGAACTAGATTTAACATCATCTTTAATTAATGAAGAACAACAGAAAGAAGTCAGAGCCAAATAATATATTACTTTCTATCTATCTGACTCCTTTAATTAATATATTTCTATCTTTTATAATAATCAGATACATTTTCTAGTTACATCCAAACGTAAGGCAAGATGTCCAAAGTATCTTAAAATAATGAACTCTTTAGTCATCTTAGTCAAGCAATTAAGAAAATTATCCTTATTGTCCTTAGAGAAGGGATGTATGATATAATCATGAAAATTATATTTCATGGAACTAGCTCAATAAACAACCAAACAAACCCAGTAACTTTGAAATCTTGAATCCATAATCCAAGCATAAGGCAAATTTGTAATTTCTTATATTGTTTCAAAATGTTTAAACTTTACTTCCCAATCCCACAAAGATTACACACCATGAAATTTCCAAATGGTATATAAATTAAATAAATCCCATTATTTAGAGTTTCAAAACTAAATTGCTTTATCTCAAAAATTCCTAAAACTATTTTGGTATACCATCCTTCATGTTAAAAATAAATCAAGATTTTGACTTATCTAAATGTACAATTTAGTCTCATTCTGTTGACTATAACTAGTTAAAGTAAAACTTTGCAAGCTCTTGATCTTGTGAAGAAAGGTTTTGACTAGATTAACAGTGTTTATACTGAGATTGTAAAAACATTCTAAATCCAAATAAAAATGCACTCCAGATATCAGTTTTCATGATCAGGTGCCCACCATGACAGCATATTCTATTATTCAAACCAGTAACAACTGATTGAGAGAGTCTGTGGTCAAATCCGAAAATGTTTTGCTAGGAAAACATGCCAGCTGGCTAATATTTGAAGGAAGTTCAAAATGTTCAATGCTTTAATTCTCTGATGGACATAAGAAGGATTGTATTTCATAAGAATAGAATGAGAAAAAGTGAGTTATACTTCTTCAGTGCACTTGTACTTTACATATTTTACCAAAGCTATTTTTTATAATTCGAAATTTTACATTACATTTTTAATTAACTGGAATTTTGATATAAAAAAAGACAGTTGGTCTACTTAATAGCATTCACTGGCTGTGTGACTTTGGGTAAAATACAGAAATCCCTATAAGTCAGTTTCCTGAGTTATAAAACGAGAATGTACAAATTGAATAACACCTGACATGTGGTGCATGAACAAAACTATCAGTTTTCTTTCTCTTTTTATTCAAAGTAATATACTTGTTAGTTTGTTTACTGGGAGGGGATAGTAGATAAATGTCATGTAATGTTAAAAATTACCTCTTCTTACTTGTTATGTCATTGATAGGTCACTTTCAAACCTGAAGGTCAACCACAGGGGCTGTGATTTCTGTCCATGGAGTTATGAAATATCCTTGTTTTACCCAATGGAACATTTGCAACCTTTTAAGGCTGCTTAAGGTGAAAAATAGCTTTATAACTTGATGCCAGACAGAGTCAAAACATGAAGCCAATTTCAAAGAAAAGAAAAGCTAAAAAAACTGTTTGTATCCTAATGAAATCATATATATTTGCCATATAATGAAGTCAGTAGTTCTCAATGAATCTCCCATAGGTTAAATCTTTAGCAGTATAAAACTATTAGAGCAGTGTCAAACAATTCAAACTAAAAAAGTCCCCCTCAGAACACCTGCCAAAAACCTAAAACTCAAAGATTATTTATCTAACACCATGCCCACCCCCAAGCAGTTAAGAAAAAAAGCATGACATTAGATAGACTAACAACTCTACCAGGGACTCAAAAGGTATTTCTTATAGTCAAATTCAGTTATAAGGACTACACTTTAGGGAACTTCTGCAAATTGAAAACCTAAATAGAGCTCAAATACAAGATGAAAAAAACAAGTGAAAGGAAAACGACAAACTAGGTCAATTTGCCCCAGAGAAACTCCTCCTGCTATAAAATATCTACAGGGGAAAGCAGATCATTTTTTTTAAAGCATGACTGAGTGGTCAATAAGAGAAAGGAAACTACAAAAGGTCAAGACCAGTGAGAAAGTGCCAATATAGAAGGGTAAGCAAATAGTGGGGCCTGTGTTTGCCTGGTATCAACCATGCCCAAGCACACAAGAACCTGGTTTTTATAAACCCTGAGTAGAGTTTAGCAGACATGGCTGAGCCCAATAACAGTGGGAAGCTAGATCAAACGTCCTCCATTCCCACCCTACCATAAATCAAGCCAAAGTCCCTAAGGGCCAATGCTCCTAGTTTGCACAGTAGAAAAAAAACTGCCCAGCAGAAAGTAATGAGATTTTTGAGGAAACCACAGTATTATACTTTACCTCTCTGGGTAATCTTCACTTAGATTTTTGCCTAATAATTAAATTCTGCCAAGATAGAGTAGAGCAGTCATCTAACTTGGCAGAAAATTGGAGGTTTATTCCCTGAATGAGTTGAAGACAAAAGTAGCCTAATGAAAACCATAGGAATCACATGACAGTTTAGATTCTAAATTTCGACACTCCATTCAGGGACTCAACACATTGGCAGCTCCACTTTACACCATTCATGAGGGAGGAAAGAAGACTCTTTTCTGAGGAAGGGATATCCGAAAAATAGGGATTATCATCAGAGGTTCCCTAGCCAACTGAGATCAAGTTGACAAGCCCTAACCCTGGACACAGAGCTTCCAAAAAGCATTTTAGTGCTCCATTTAAATCCAAATGAGTGGTCAAGAATCAACATGAACAAAGTCTCTAAAAGAAAAATCCTTCCCCAAAAAAACGAACAAAAACAAGAACTTGGAGGAAACATTACACAGAGAGGAAAACTTCATCAAAATATTATTAATATTGTCAGAAAGTAGTATATCCTTGAAGCAAGAACAGGATAAATTTTTAAAGAGGAAGAACCAAACACAGATCTTGGAAATAAAGAAGATATTACAAAATCCAGTAAAACTATTAAACTCAAAAACTATTAAATAATGAATACCTTATTGAATATTGTTTGGAAGAAAAGTAAAAAAGGTGAACAGATATATAAAGTGATACACTAAGACAAGGGAATATTATTTACTGCTAAAAATAAGCTATACTGCTAACTTAGCTATAAGGTCATGAAAAGACAGAGAAGAACCTTAAGTGCATATTACTAAGCGAATGAAGCCAATCAGGACGGTTACATACTATGTGATTCCAACTCCATGACGTCTTGAAAAAGGCAAAACTAGAGCAACAGTACAATAATCTGTGGTTGCCAAAGGTTAAGGAGAAAGAAGGATGAACAGGTGGGGTTCAGAGAATTTTTAGGGTAATGAAATTATTCTGTATAAACTGTAACGCTATATTCGTGCCATTATACATTTGTCAAAACCCACAGAACGTGCAACACTGAAAGTATTTAAGGATAAAAACCCAGGATATTCTGCTAGTTACTATCAAATGGTTCGTAATGAATAACATTAATACGCATGTGCATGTACAGATGATAATTTGTGCATGTGCATATTTTCATACATATATAAATATAAAAGAATAATGATGTAAATGTGGCAAATGTAACAACTGGATTCTAGGTGAAGGGCACGGAGGAATTTAATGTACTATTCTTGTCACTTTTCTTGAAATTTAGTATTTTTTCAAAATAAATAGTGCTACTTTCACATTTTTCAACATGCCTATGTAAAACTGATTTAGAACAATGGCTACGATTAAAAATAGGAACAGACAAATTGGATCTAAACCACACCACACTCCTGCTACACCGGTCCTTTTGCATTTCCTCAAACTCTTATCTGCATCATATACCTCTTTTTATAGCTATAATTTTTATTGATGTATGGGTCTCTACTCAATGACTGCCTCACCTACCAGGCAACAAGAATTCCAACCTACCACAAAATCTGGCACTTAGTTGTAAGGGTGGAGAGAAAGGAGCAGGTGGGAAGGGGGGGCAAGTCTATGGAAGGGAGCAAGAGAAGAAAGTAACATTTATATAAACAGCTATATTGGCCTCCTTGTTCCTTGAATTTGTCAGACATATTCCCACCTCATAGCTCTTGAATCTTTATTCCCTTTGCCTGGTAGTCCCTATCTACAAAGAACCTGATAAATAGCTCCTTCTTCCCTTCTCCCAATTCTGTGCTCAAGTGGTAACTTGTAGATGAGGTCTTCCTTGACCAGCCTATCTAAAATGCGAAGAAATGCAGGCCAACCTTTACACACTCCTTAGCTGTAACTGCTTTATTTTTCTCTGTAGCACTTACTATGGCCTACAGAACTAAATAACTTATTTATTGGAGTATGATCTGTCTCCCTACAAGATTAACAACATTAAGAGCAGGGATTTCCTTCAATGCTATAGTTCTAATATTTAGAGTAATGTCTAGCATATAGTAAGAACTCAATAATAGATATTTGTTGAAATGTAGTATGACGGACTACATACAATAGGACAGAATTTTGTCAAAATCTTGTGTCCAAAAATCTTAATATACATTGTTTTAAATATGCAAAGCTGCCATTATCCTCACATACAAGGACAATCACTTATTTTAAAAGCATACAATTCCTACTTTTTAGGTGTTAAAATAGTCTTCCTTTTTCAAAATGATGCTTCTACATAACTATTTTTCCCCAATGATCTCATTTGCCAAAATGAGAAATGGTCAGATCTGTCAGTCTTTTATTTTTAATAAATTGTACCAGCATATGGGAGTGCAAACTGGTCCAACCACTATGGAGAGCTGTGTGGAGATTCCTCAACCTACTAAAGATAGAGTTTCCATATGATCCAGCAATTCTACTTCTAGGTATTTACCCAAAGGACACAGAAACATTAATTCAGAAGGGCACCTGCACCCCTATGTTTATAGCAGCACTAATTACAATAGTTAAGCTTTGGAAACAACCTAAATGCCCAAAAACAGATGACTGGATCAAGAAGATGTGGTACATATACACCATGGAATATTACTCAGCAATCAAAAAAGATAAACTCATGCAATTTGCAGCAACATGGATGGAGCTGGAAGGGATCATGTTCAGCAAAATAAGCCAGAAAGAAAAAGAAAAATACCGGATGGTCTCAATCATAGCAGGAATCTAGAAAACTTAAATAAGGGACCAGGAAAAAGACTAATTATAATAAAGTAAAAATCAAAATCAACAAGCAACAATAAACCAGAGACACACTATGGGGTGGGGGGGGGCAGGGCAGGAAAAGGCGGGATTGGGGTCAAAATAAGGGGGGTGCAATTGTATGGGGAATATAAAAATAAAAAAATGTAAAAAATAAAAAAAAAAGCCTAGAATAATAAATAAATAAATTGTACCACCATATAAAACCTAGAAGTATTGGGACTATTGATAAGAAGGATTAAAAAATCTCCTCAGAATGTCATTTCCCTATCTAGTTCAACAAACCCATTTCAAAAACCAGCCCCAATCTTCAAACATCTTCTACTCTAGTCAAGTCTCTTCAGACCATCATAATTTTGATTCCTCTGTGCTTCTCGTGTACTGACATTCCTCTTCCTTAATTCCCTGTTTAAATTCTTCCTATTTAAAGACTTCTCTTCCTTTGTGTCCCAAGAAGCCATTCCTTACCCCTCCATCCTCTCATCTGAACATCGCTAGTCCTTTAGGCAGAGCTCCTTCGAAACACTACTTTGGCCCAAACTAACTCTATAAGAATCACTGTGGGAAGATTAAGAAAAAGGCAATGTCTAGGGTCAAAATACAGATTAGGAGAATCAGAATTTCCAAGATTGGGGAAAAGGAGTCAATGTCTTAGAAGTCTTCCCAAATGATGCTGATCCAAGGCCTGATTTAGGAATAATTAGTCTATATAAGAGTCTGAAATTAATCATAAAATTAACTCATTACATTTAAATAAACACCTTCTTAAACATCATTTAAAAGAGAAAGGAAGTTTTATAAAATAAAATGTCTTAATCACAATCACAATAGCGGCATGATCATCTTAAGACTTCAAATTAATCATTAATATGTATATCCTATGTTAAATAATTCATAGGAAGGCCTTAATTAGAAATAAATCATTTCAAACACAATCATAATATTTTGACATACAGATACAGAGGCATTTATAAAAAGTGTGTTGATACTATCATAGGAGGGCATCTATTGCAAAGAAACTAGTATAATTAAGTTAACTCAAAAGGGTCAGCAACCAAAATTTAACTTTAAAAAGTTAACCTAAATATAGTCTACAAACCTGTTTGTTGTTCTCTGCCATAGCAAGCTGCAATGCCAAGAGCATGGAGTCTGCACCACATACAGTAGTTCTCTCAGAGTTACAAAGAGTGTGCCAATTCCTTCTGAACTTTTTAATCATGTCCAACACAGACTTCTGATTAAGTACAGACATCCTATTAAAGTAGGACAGAATGCAATGTTAAAAGCCTTATTTTAATTGGAAATTAATATTTAACATGTGTAAGCAAGCAGAGTTACAGAAAAATAAGTAGTGAACAAGAGGTCATTTCATATTTACCAAGATTGCTTTTAATTAAACTTAGAAAAACAGAATAATACAATTTTTGCCCAATCATATTTTCCTATCCTTTAGTTTTCTTAAGCCAAATTTTTGAAATAATAAAATTCGACCTTGAATCTAAAAATTCATATAAAAGATGCAAGTTCTACAAATTGATAATTATAGACACAGTATAGCTTATTGAAGCTATATTTGCAAAATATTATTTTGAGATAAAAGTGAGTATCTGTGGTAGATTAAAAAAAATAAGCAATTTTCTTTCATCACTATATTTTCCCAAAAGAGGTATACTGTTTCCACCCCTTTGAATCTATGTCAGCCTTGTGACTCAATTTGACTAACAGAATATGACAAGAACGACATAATAGGAGTTCTGAACTTGAACCTCAAAAGGCTGGCACAGAAAGAGTTAATATGGCATGCCTGGTTGCTATCCTTTCAAAGTTCTGTTCATATGGTTGGCCCTTGAGTGGTATCTGGGAACTTGATTTCAGGGGTAAAAGTGGCTCACTGTGCAAATACCACAGCTTATGCCAAACACATGATGCCTCTGTGTTCACCCCCAAGTAATAACTCTGGGCACTGAGTCCCTAAGGACCTTCCCTGATAGAGGTCATGTCATGTGTTATCCCAACTTGCTGCTGAAGAATAAAGCATGTTCAGTGTGACTCCACTAAGAGAAGGCTCTTAGAACCGAGTGTCTGTTTATCCCTGGGTTTCACCCTATGCACCTTCTCCCTTTATTGGATTTTTTTTAAATTTATTTTATTTTTTTTAAGATTTATTTATTTATTTATGCAAGTACTGGGTACAGTCAGAAGCGCGGGAGGGTGAGAGAATTCACCAGAGCCAGAGCGGGGAGCAGAGCAGGCAGAAGGACCGAAAAAGTACACTGCTGAGGGGAGCAGCAGGCGGCAGGAGAGGTCTGTGCACCATGTGGGACCCTCCTCCGGTGGCCGGGGAGCAGCCGGGGATCGAACCAGCGCTGCAGAGGCTGCGGGCAGCTTCGCAACCCAGCGCTCAACCGCTGCGCCACTGGGGATTTTGGATTATTGGATTATTTGGATTATTGGATTTTGCTTAGGCTATTTTTTCTGTAATAAATTATAGCTATGAGTATATATTATGAATATCGGCTGAGTTCCCTTAGAAAATCATCCAACGCTGGGTAGTCTTGGCCTTGCAGTATTAGCTCTTACCCTCTTGAGGTTCTCCAACTGCCACCTAAAAAAGGCCAAGCTTGCCTGCTGAAGGGGAATATGATCTGAGCCACTCCTGTTGACAATATGAACTCACAGATGTGTGAGTGAAGCTATATTAGACTACCTAGTCCCAACCAACCTTTCATATGAACTACAGCCATGTGATGAGCCAAGGCAAGACCAGCAGAACTACCTAGCTGAGTCCAGCCCAAACTGCTGATACTCAGAATCATAAGCAAATAAATAGCTGTTTTAAAGTTACTATATTTTGGGGATGGTCTGTTATACACCAATAGATAACTAATGCACTACTTAATATTTAGGAGTTTCCTTGATACCAGGTGCTTTTCAAAAGCTTAATATTTAATACCTCATTCAACCTTCCCAATAGCCTGCATAGAGGGTCTATTATCATCCTTACTTTCCATCTGAAGAAAGAGGCACTGCATGTCACAATGCTAGTAACCTAACAGGCCTAAACCCATGGTGCCTCATTTCATCAGTTGTGTTCTTCAATAACTACATCTCCTGGTGCAAAGGACTTTCAAAATAATTTAACGTAGTTCCAATGTTTGACATACCCAGGATTACACAAGGCTCTCAAGTTCTTTTTCTGAATTTACAGACATGACTGCTATAAGTTTTTCTTCTTACTTTCTTTTAAGTATCCCAGTCTCCAACATATGCAAAGGTCATTATTTTATTTTCGCTATTTTATTATACATGTTACATTTGCTTATTCTGTTATCTGTTGTTCTATTTTCATGTGCCACAAACAGAATCCCAGAGGTTTACTACATACTTGGTGTGTAGTAATGTTAATTTATAGATACAATTAATGATACAATTTAAAGATACAGGTAGAAGATTATAAATTAAAATATCTGCAAAAATGTAAATCCTTATAAGCAGCTAAGTCATAGTTCTTTCCAAAACATTACCTTGATCTCTTCGGAGAAAAAAAGTGAGGAAGTAAAGCTTCAGTGATATGATCCATCTACCTGAAATAACTCTTTAGTAGTAAATTATTTACTGGTACTATTTAAATCTATAATGACTTCAAATTGCTGAAAATAAAGACTAATCTGGAATTAGACTGTTCAGAATCCTGGCTCCACCAGTTACTAGCTGTGAGATCTAGGCCAAGTTATTTCACCTCTCCCTGTCTCAGCTCCCTTGAACTGAAAATGAAAATAATAATAGTTTCTATCTTACAGTTTTGTAAAAAGTAAATGACATAAATACATGTTACATTTTTAGAACAGTGTTTGACACATATAAAAGCCAACAGTCTCACCTAGGGCTCAACACACTTTTTGGAAACAGCCAAAAAGAAAATAGTTGAGGACTGCGGGGCCCTGAGGCTTATCACAACTTCTCAACTAGACACTGCGGTGTGAAAATGACCACAGACAATACACAGACACCTAGCATAGCCAGGCTCCAACAAACCTTTATGAAAACTGAAATTTGAATGTCATGCAATTATCACATATCCCCAAATACTATTCTTCCTTTCCTTTAAACCATTTAAACATGTAAAGTCCATGCTGCACTAAAACAGGCAGCAGCTTTGCCAACCCTGGTCCAGTCTCAGTTCTTCCTGTAGCTAGCTGACTGCTAGAGCCTAGGCAATGAACTTCACACCTCACTGCCTAAGGAAGAGGCATGGTCACCAAGCAATCAGGAATACCTTCCAGGAGTCCTGAGGAGTCTGTGAAACAAAGCATCTGCAAGCACTCTGAATACCAGGCTGCACCACAGAAAAACAGTCGGGGAAAGCTGCAACGCAGCGATAATAAACACTTGTTTGCAAAAACTGAATTTCAAAAGGCACTGGAGTAAAAACAGCGAAGTGAAAAACTGTCACTGGGGAGACAGCATGAGTTAATTAAAAATATTACATTTTTTAATCAGACAGGCCAGGGCTCACGACTGTCTGTCATTCAGTATTTAAAACTTCGGGTGAGCAAAATGTCTTTATTTGCAAAACGGGGAGATGATGTCCAGCCTCAAAACATCATGAGACATTAGTAAGACACGAAAATAACCCACCCAGTGCCAGGCACTTCGTAAGAGCCCAATAAAAACACAGCCCTCCTTGCTGTTATCATGTCAGGTCGCAGGTCCTAGGTATTCCTTGCAAAGACCTAACAGGGAGAGGGCGAACACTGCGGGCTTGGGATTGCATGTTGGGGACTAGAACCCTGGTTTCCTGCCAAACTGCTGACTCTAAGTAGGCCTCTGTGGGTCTCAGCCTCCCCGTCTGCAGGTTCCTCGGGCCCTTCCAGCTCCAACCATCACCAGCTCCAGGGCACCCAGTTCGACACCCACCGGCTCCAGCGCGAAGCCCCTGCACAAGTAACATCCCAGAGGGCCCCATGGGGCTTGGCTTTCGCCAAATAATCCTCCCGGGCCGCGACCTGTGAAAGGCGAGCGAGGAAGAGGCAAGACTGACCTGGCCGGGGACGGAGGCCGCGAGCGCGCCCTCGACTGCACAAGGGACCTGCCCGCCGTAGAGGCGCCTCGGCGGTCATTGTGACCAATTCCAGTTCAAATATCGCGGGAGAGCCCGGGAGCCAATGGCCGCGGCCGCCCTCTGACCCGGAAGCAGAAGCGCCGGCGCCGCGGCGGCCCCCGCGGACGTCTGCTCACTTCCGGCTGCTTCCTGGCGCCCTCCGGTGCGTACTGCGCGGGAGCCCGGGGCTGGAGCAGCTCCACTGCCGGCTGCCCTGCGCTCCCAGCCACTCCCCGGGGGTGCCTCCCTTTCCAGGACCGAACCCCCACCCCCTCGTCCCTCTGATCTTGGGCTGGGGAGGGGGAGAAGGGTCTGGCGGGACTTGGCAGCCCGGGGTGCAGGCGTCGGGGCTCTTGGCTGGGACTTGTCTTGCTCTCACCCTCCTCTGCTGTCCAGTTTAAGAGGGGCGCGCCCAGCCAGCCGCTGTGCAGTGGGACCCCGAGGATGTGATCTCGAGACTGGCTGCCACTTGGCTGAGCAGTAGGGCGCCTGATGTTCTGACCTTGAATCTTTGGTACTTCTTACACCAATCTGCCTCCGAGGGCATCTCACCTGCTGTCCACCCTGAAATGGCCACTCCCGATGTCCACTCCTGTTACTAGTTTATAAACGCCCTGAGCTGGCCCTCCTCTGGTTCTCAGTAAATACTTATCAAGTACTTGAGGTGTTTGTTACCAAGCCCAAATGTTTGCAGGACAACTCCCGCATCCAATTTAGGGGAGGGGAAACAACCCTCTTTAGAATCCTTAAATCTTACCTGGGAATGCTGCTTCCACAGTTCACTCCAGGCCAACACAGGTTAGTCGAAGTTTTGTGCTTGGTCTTATAATTTTCATGTCATATACAGCACTCCTTCTGACTTGTAACATTCTTCTCTAACTCTACGGTCTCCAACACAGTATAGTCTTTAAAATTCTGGCTTGTCTTAGGAACTGGGCACACTAGTTAACCTCCTAAACTCTCAATTTCTTCTTCTATAGAATGAGCATCATAGGAAGTACCTCCCTCTTACGTTTATGCAAGTATGAAGTGTAATAATGTTAGTAAATAATGTTTAACATGACACCTACAAATAGTGCTCTGTAAATGTTAGCTATCACTAATTTTTTATGAATACACTTGTTATTAAAGTCATTACATCTTCAAGTACTATATCTTTTAGATAATCTGATGGAATTTTATGATGATTTATTCTACAGGTATCATTCACAAGATATTTAAATAACTAAATTTTATTTTGAACTGTCTGCCAGCTGCAATACCATGACCTTATTTTGATTCATTTACTGAAAGTGACTAACACTGATATTTTCTGTGTCTGTGCTGTAATCCACAGTTTCGTGATCTTGTCCAGTAGAAGGCTGCTTTATTTTTACAACTGCTCAAGTTCTGACATACAAGATGAAGCACAATGCTGCAGGAAATGCTGCCTACACTGTGGATTGTGAAGATTATGTGCATGTGGTAGAATTTAATCCCTTTGAGAGTGGGGATTCAGGAAACCTAATTGCGTATGGTGGCAATAACTACGTGGTCGTTGGCATGTGTACATTTCAGGTCAGTGTACAAAACTGCAGTGAAGGACTGAAAGACAAAGTGTTTCACTAATAAGAAAGCTTACATAGTAGGTTGAGTTGGAATGTAAAATAAATTTTATAAAGAACTACAGGGAAAGATATTTCCCTGTTGAAATTTGTGCAAACATTAAATAGGTAGTGAAAAGGAATAAAATAAGACATCTCTTTTGTCTCATGATTCGTAATGAAATATTCTGGTAATTGAAGGTTATAATTAACTGACTACTGGTCTGTACAAGGAAAACCCCATTTAACTGACATCTAATTAATAACTTAATCCAATTTCTCTACCTTCCTCCTCCAGATTTAATAGCTGTCACAATATTGTGCTTTCCTAGTAGTATGTTTTTTATATATATAAAGCATATATTAGAGAATATGAAGTATGGGATCATACTAATTGAGCAAGAAGGTTAGCATACTCATTAAGATAAACTGGAGCCAAAATGTCTAGTTTTTTTACACCTGGCCAGCTTTGCTTCTTTACAAATGACCTAAAGCAAGTACTTACCCTCTCTTCTCTAAAATGAGGAAAATAATACTTCATAGGTTTTTGTGAAAATATAATGAGTTAGTACATGTAAAATTTCTGGAAAGCCTTTGACACGTCATAATACATATACATGTTTTAACTGTCAATGATTTGGTCAGTGGTGACACTCAGGCATAGCCCCACATTTATTCACCATAATAGATTGCTTTGTGGTGAACATACACCATGTTTTCTTACAGGAAAGCTGGTTCTACTTGTTAGGCAGATTTTGAACAATGACAGTTCAACCCTAAAAAAATCTCTGGTGAATTTCTTGTTTACCAGAATGTTATTCTTTCTCAAATTAAGGTTAATCTTTGTGGTAATAGGGCAATGACCAGTTTTCAATGATTTAAATTATCACTAGAGTGATAGAAGCATAATATTATTTCCACTTTTATTCAACAAGCAGTATAGTATATCTTAGTGTTTTAACATAAATGCAACTTAGCATTTTACAAGGCAATAGTATATAAAATTATTACAAAATTAGATTGCATTCATATTTATCGTAAGGGGAAGGTATGAATTAAAGGCTTCACTTTGCTGGTGTAAGAGCACTTACATTATTCCATATTGTCTCTTAGGATTGAGGCAGAATTTCTAGCTTTTACGCCAAATATGACCCTCAGACTGACTTCAGCTAGAATACCAGGTTAGGATCATATTAAAAAAAAAATCATATGATTGAAAGAAATAACATGAAACACTTGAAAAAGATTGATGGTAAACCTTTCTTCTACTGTAGGCTACTAAGCTACAAAAGAATAAAGCAGCCCCCTACAGATAAAACTAACTTTTTACATCATTATTTTTAAAATTAATAGCTGTGAAAATGGAATTGCATTAAAAATAAAATACACTTTAGGTCTAGCTTATGGTCAGCTAAAAAACGCTGAGGGAAAAATCAGCAAGGGAGAAAAAATAGGGGAAAAGGCAGAAATGGTTGATGGCAGAGAAAAAAAGAAAAAAAAAATACCAAAAGCATATGTATTGCTCCATTATAATTTGTGGTCATGCACTGTCCTGCTGATGCCCAGACATATGAGACTCATGGGTAGCTCTTATGCCTAAATTATCTAAGGCAAGAATTGGACTTTTATTAATTTGCCAAGTAATAAGCACAAATTTTACTCTGTGCCAAATATTGGCGATACACTTAGCCTACACTGGCCCTGTCCTCATGGATTTTCTGTTCTCCTTTAAAGAAGTTCATGGATTTGTATGACTAGTATATGTAAAAACGAGAGCTAGATCCCATTCTTTTAATATTTTACATTGAAGCTAAAATCTTTTACAACGCTGTATATGATTTAGAGGCATAGGATTATACTCTTCAGGTGTGTTACCACATACATCCTCCACCCAGGTATCTAAAGTCCTCCACCGTAGTCCATTATGCCCCTACCCACTTTGCTAATCCTTCCCCCCCAATTCTATAGTCACATTTCTAGGGTTTGTTACTGGTTTGGTTTTATGTCACCTTTTGTTTTATTTCTCTATATTCCATATATGAGTGATACCACCCAGTGTTTATCGTTCTCCTTCTGACTTACTCTGCTTAGCATTTATTCTCTCCAGTCCCATCCATGTTGTCACAGATGGCAAGAGTTCATCTTTTCTTATAGCTGAGTATTATTCCATCATTTATATACATCCTACATCTTCCTAATCCATTTGTCTGTCTTTGGACACTTAGTTAGTTTCCATAATTTGACGATTGTAAATAGTGGTGCGATGAACAGAGGAGTGCATATATCCCTTCAAATTTGTGTTTTTGTGTTCTGTAGGTACATACCTAGCAGTGGAGGTGCTGGGTCATATGGTAGATCTATTTTTAATATTTTGAGAAACTCCATACTGTCTTCCTTAGAGACTGTACCAGTCTACATTCCCACCACAGTCCAAGGGTTCCTTTAAATCCTTGTGTCTGGTCTTTTGCTATGGGCCATTCCCACAAATGTGAGATGGTGTCTCATGGTGGTTTTGATTTGCATTTCCCCAATGATAAGTGGTATGGCACTTTATCATGTGCCTTTGCCCACCTGTATGTATGTCTTCTTTGGAGTGGTACCTATTCAATCCTTTTGCCCATTTTTTGATTGGGTTGTTTCTTTTCTTTTTGTTGAGTTGTATGAGCTCTTAGTAGATTTTTTTATATCAGCCCCTTGTAGATGTATGTTGTGCAAATATTTTCTCCCATTCAGCAGAGTTTCTTTTCATTATAGTGATGGTTCCTTTTATTTTGCAGAAGCTTTGTAGTTTGATATAGTCCGAATTGTTTATATCCTCTTTTGTTTCTTTTGCTGTGGAAGACAAATACACAGAGACATCACTGAAGCCCATGTTATGAAGTATTTTGCCTATGTTTTCTTCTATGTGTTTTATGGTTTCTGGTCTTACATCCAAATCTTATCTAATTAAACACTGTTTAACATTGTTCAGATTCTATCATGTTAGAATCTTCAAGGTCCATAGCGCCCAATTTTGTGCTTCTCTCTTCGCTTGAAAGGAACCTAAATAAAGGTAACTTAAATGGAAAGATTTCCACATTACTATGAGAAAGGCAATCCTTATTCTAAGATTGTTAGTAAAATGCTGTCAATAAAGTGAATTTGAATTTCAACAAAGCATTTTTCAGAATTTCATGGTTTTTAATATGATAGAAATAGGAGTTAAATACTATTATTAATTGGTGTCCTGTATCTGACAAATATTAGGTGCAGACCACTTAATATTTAACCTTTCTATTATTATATATTATATATATAGAGGACAAAGGGAGTATGAAAGTTTCTAAATCAATTCGAAAGGCCATCAATAATTAATTGAGGTCTCTGCTGAGACTTGGATGAGAGCACTTAATTTGGGTAAGCACATTCTTATATAGAATGTGAAACCAAGGATATTTAATGCTTTAGGTGAGAGGCTTCATTTAACAAACATTTATTGAGTGCTTGTACGCCAGACTGCTGAGCCAAATATCATTTAATAGATTGGATTAACGGGCCAGGTTGAACAAGCTAAAATTTAATAGGATTAATGGGTCGGGTTGAACAAGCTAAAATTGAATAAAGAATAAAGATGTGTGTAAAGTCATAAAATGACGGACTGCTAGAGCTAGAAAGGAAAATTTTGACTTAGGGTTTTTAGTCACCTGGATGTTCACCATAAACAGTGATTAAAGTGCCAAAGGAAACTAATTCAATGTTGTCCAGTAGAATTACGATGTGAACCATAAATATAAATTTAAATAGTATAGTAACCACATTATGAAAAATAAAATGCAGATAAAATAAATTTTCATAATACATTTTACCTAGCATATCCAAAATATTTTATATACTAACATTTTGAAATCTATATAGTCTACAATTATAAAATGTATATCTCATGTTAAATCAGCCACATTTCAAGTGCTTAATAGCCCCATGTGGCTAGTTGCTACAATATTGGATAGCATAGCCCTATAGCCTCCTCTGTAAATTGACAGTAACATTTACTTTAGTTCTTAATGGTATATTGTGATTCAAAAGAGAATGTTTTGGAAGACAGATTTCACAGTGGTATTAAAATATTTAAATCTGTCATGGTGAAGAGGGTTTTAGACTTAAAATGTTAAATGGATTTTATGTTATTTGTATTTCTCTTTGATTAGAGCTGTTGACTTATGGTATTTTAAGACTGATGCTGAATCTGCTTCTTTGAGTGTGTTCACCTAAGGAAATCAGCTATGGGCAGATATTTGCCATTACTACTCTATTCACTCTGTGTACTTTCAGAGAGCACAGTTTTGAGCAATTAATAAAATTTACATGGAAACAGATGTTGGTTTAATGTTGAGGAGAGCTCTTCTAATAATTAGAGCTACCCCAAAATTGAATGCACTCCCCCAGTAAATAGCTAGTTCCCTCACACTGAAAGTGTTTAGAGAAAGAGTTGTGCAAAATAGCCTAGTAGAGATTTAAGCATTAGTTGAAAGAAGTGGACTAGGTAAAGTTTATAGTCTCATCTAAGTGAAATTCTGTATTTGTTCTTGGCGGGTGTAGCGGGAGGGCCTGCCAGTTTCAAACACTTAGAATAGCCCTTTCATCAACCTGGTTTTGTCCCAACCTCAAATATGCTGGAACCTTGGATAATCACTTGTGTTAGAGCAAGTTTTCCAAAGTATCTTAATTTCCTGCCTATACAATATTGCCTACACCTCAAAATAAACCCAAAATAGCATTCATCTCTGCCTATACCACACACACCCTGGCCTTTTAGTTGGCTCAATAACAGACATTGGTGCCAGGGAAAAATAGGTTTCACTGGTAATACATAAAGCTCAGGCGATATAGTACCTGGGATTTCTTTAACTCCACAACCACCCAATACATACTTTGGATCACAGATTGTCCAAGACTTAATTGTCAATGCTATTGTTAAGTAGCAAAATAACATATTTTGATGATAAAAACTTTATAATTAGAAGGTTGATTTGTCAAGTGTGGAAAATAGATGAAATCAGCTGTGATTAGGCTCCTAAACTTAATTTTAAATTGCCTAGTGATTGCTTCCTTGGCATATCTGACTGCTAGCTATATAGGTATATGCACAAATTAGGAAGTAATAAAAATTCACAGATTTTTTTTCCTTTATAATGCATTTTTATTTCTTTTTTTTTTCATTTGTGGAAAACCATTTTACTGTTACTTCTTAAATTCACCTAAAATTTAAAAAGTATTTTCAAGGGGTATCTGAATTATATAGGGAAAGATAAGTGTAATATGTCTGAAATGACTGCTAGGATCCCAAAGGCTAACCTAGAAAAATCAACATATGTGCTGGAATTCAACTTAAGTACACGTTATAAACCTTTGCATTTATTGTCCAAGTGACTAGAATTCTTAAAACAGCCTTCCAATCATTCCTACTTATATAGACACATATATTCTATTAAATATCAAGTTTCATCTTCTCTGGACTATATCCCTCACAATATTTTGTAGTCCTACAGATTTTTATTAAAAAAACTACTCAATAAAGAAGATTCCTTGAGCAAATTTGTCATGAAAAATTTTGCTTTATTCTCTGGACCCAGCTATAGTATTGATTTAAATAACAAAATGATGGTTTATTGTAAAAAAATCACCGTATTTCAAGCTTATAAAATATATTTTAAAATAAGTATTTTGACTACATAATAAATAGTAATAATAAAATAATTCCTTGTATACCTATTACCTATCTTCAGAAATGGAACTTTAACAATCTCTTTGAAGCCCTCCTTTACCACTGTCTCTTCAAATGTTGGCTCTTTCCCCATTCTCTGTTTGTTCCTTGCCAACCCAAATTAGACATATGGTGGAATCTGTCACTGAAGACCTCTTAACATTTCCTTTTGTCTTCTCTCTGTTACTTTCTGGGTCATTTTTTTGAATCTGCCTTCCAGCTGCTCTAAGTACTAGTTGTTTTTTCCTGTTAATGCTATCCTCACCTAAAAGTTTTGTTCTTTTTTCAAAATCTGCCTCGTGATTAATTTTGGTACTCACTTGTTGTTTACTCATATTTTTCTATTTGTTACTTCTCAAAAATATACCTTTTGTATATAGTTTTGTTTATCTGATGTCATTGCAGGTTTGATTCTTCTGTTTGATACTTTTTTTCATATGTAGGAGTGAATGCAAGATCATACTTGATTAAACAATATCTGTGGGAACTTTTTGAGACCTGGATAGTAGTTGTTCATCTAAACAGAATTTGCCTTTGTCAAGTGCATATAGCCACTACCAGTGTACAACCATTTTGAAATAAGTTGTCTTTTTCTGGAAGATAAAGTCAAAGTGTATTCAAGCCCCAAACTTATATTAGGACCAACTAAAGGTTGAAGTTTTCCAAAAGTGACTTCTGTTTTGTGGTCTTCACCCATGAAGGTGTTTTGCCAGGAAGTTTTAGTTTGGGGGTATTGGTTTTTTTTTTCTGCCCCTTTATGATCCTGGTTCTATACAGAGGTTTCTGACATCCTTCCTTATACAGGCACTAAGTTTTACCTTCTGTCTCTTGCCAACTTAAACTGTTAGTTATTGGGTATGCACAAATGCCCTTCCGATAGCTGCTTGCCTCAGTGCTGAGTTGCTTATCTGGGTTTAAATTTTTTGCTTTATTTTTGTAGTGAAAGAACTTTTTAGGCTATTATTCATATTGCCAGACATAGATGACCTTTTCATTTGTTTTTCTCATCTTCCCACAAGGATAAAATGAAATCATTTTAGTGATAGTGGACTAGGTAAATAAGCTCACTTTATTAAGCATCTTACCCAGAATCAAATATCAAAAAAACTAAATTAACCGGATTGTTACTTCCATATTCATTATTCATAAGCTGTAATGGTATCAATGAACAATTTATAACATCTTATACATGTGTTATGCTGTATTTAATACTATGTGAAAATCATCAGTACTCATAACTGAGGTCTCAAGTGTCTTGTACAAAATCAAAACTTCAAGTTCAGTTTATTTTTTTATATTGTCAGTTGATAAACTGTGTTTGTTGATTCATTAAAATATTCTGATTCTTAGAATATTCATTTTCATTGGTTTTGTTGTGAAATATGTTTCTATTTGAAATAAAGTGTCTCCTAAGATAACATAGAGCATGTTTACTGTTGGCTTTTAGTTTCCTTAAAGAATTATTTTTTGAGGGCCTCCCCTGGTGGCACAGCAGTAGAGCTCTGGGTTGCAAAGATGCCTGCAGCCTCTGCAGCACCGGTTCAATCCCTGCCCGCCAGCGAGGGTCCCACACTGCGCAACAGACCTCTCCTGCCGCGCCCGCTGCTCCCCTCAGCAGTGCATTTCGTCAGTCTGCCTGTTCCATTCCCTACTCTGGCTCTGGTGAATTCTCTCACCCTCCCGCGCTTCTGACTGTACCCAGTGCTTATATAAATGAATAAATAAATAAATCTTTAAAAAAAAAAAAGATTTTTTGAGACTTGGACAGCTTTTGAATATTTTTGTTTTTGTTCTGCTTTTGGCCTTCTTGAAAGAATACACATGGCTTACAGAATATTACATTGTTTGTTCTAATAAGTTACTAAAACATCATCTTTCTATGCTTAGGAGGAAGAAGCAGACATTGATGGAATTCAGTATAAAACACTACGAACGTTTCATCATGGAGTCAGGGTCGATGGTATAGCTTGGAGCCCAGAGACTAGACTGGATTCATTGCCTCCAGTAATCAAGTAAGCTTAAAATTGTTAAATGCTGGATTTGCTTATGTGTTTTATATTAATCTGAAGCCTTTGATCATAGTGATGTTTTTCCTCCATTTCCATTTTTACCCCCAAATCCAGAGAGTAGATATTTTAACATTGGTTACTATTTTATAATTTAGGTTTATTGTCTGGATTTGTCAGTTAAATATGCAACTATAGCAGATACCTTAACTGTGTGTTTGAGCCTAACTACAAAGTTCTTTACCTGAGATTTGCCTGAATCATTTGAAGTCCTCATAGATTCATTGAATTTACCACTTTTTGAAAGTATCATTCTATTAAAATGTATTTGCTTGAGTCGTTAATATACCTTACTGTCCCATGGATAGGCCAATTTCATTTCTTCATGTTTAACAGTACATAAAATTGTAGTTCTGCTCCTTGGACTTCAACTTTTATGAAATCATTTGAAAGAATGTTTGCTTTTTCTTTTTTTTTACTTAAGGGATAATTTTTCATACTATGAAATTCTTATCTCTTAAGAAAACAGTTTGATTTGTGTTGACAAATGCGTACATTCGTATAACCTGCACACCGGTACTGCATAACATTTCTGCCACCCTAAGCAATTCTTTGTGCATCTTCCCAGTCAGCCACTGTGCTTCATCCCCTATAGAAGCAGTCATTAGTTCAATTTCTATTACCAGAAATTAGTTTTGCCTATTGTAGAACTTTAGGTACATGGAATTATACAGCATGTAATTTTTGTTTTACTTAATGTACTCTCTTAAAATGAGAGTACAAATTTCCATGGTGGTTCTACCATTTTGTATACCCACCAAAATTTAATAAATAACCTATTCTCCATTTTTTTATTATCAGGCTCTAACTTTAGCTGTTCCAATGATACTACGATGACATTTCTGTTTCCTAAGGAATCTTTGCCTACGATATTGTTATGAATTCTGTGTTTGCTTTTAGATGCTTTTACAAATATTAGCTAACTGAATTTCGAATGATCTACACAACTCTTGTCAACAGACATATGTCATTTTCAATATCTAGTTTGTTGTTAATATCCTCTTATATTAAAATGAAGTGTTCAAAGAATCTGGAGCTAAACAAAGTCAGACTCTCTGTAGTTGCCAGCAGATTTTGAAAGCTGTAGAAGTTGTTTTCTTCCTCTGGTTTTGCTTGGCATCTTTTTTCCTGTCCTCTAATGAAAATGCTGTATTATTTTATATTTTTTGTTGTTGCATTTTGATAAGTTACCTCAGTCATTTCTGGAACTATATAAATATAAATAATAAATTCAAAACATTAACCTGCCATTAGTTTTAAACGCAGTATTTTTACAGTAAGCTGACAGTACAATTTTGTTACTTTCAGATAAATTATATATTTTTATTTTAGGTTAAAAATAATGTATTGCTTAGATTTTTTTAATACAAACATTGAACTACTTTTCAATAGTTACATAAAATTACATCAAGGTGTCTTAAATGTTAATACAAACAATGCCCCAGCTTCTAGTAGATGTATTCCAGCTTTTATAGGTGTAACAAGATTATCTTCTTTCTTCTAACTTTATTTACAGGAATAGAAAAAAAATAAAAAGGCCTATAGATGACTAGAGAAGGTAAAGACTCAAGTAGATGTATAAAATATTGATAATATCTATTATTAACCTCACTAAACTGAACATGCTTTTTAGAATCCATCGTTTTCTACTTTCAAGAAAAAGTTGAAAATTAAATTTATGTTGTGACTTGTAATAAAATTTTACCCTTTTATTGTTGAAAAGACAAATGTAAAATATACTAGTTCTTGTGTCTTTTGGGGAAAAAAAAAAAAAGATGACCATACAATATTTTTTACAACAGAACACATTTCCTTTCCCATCCCCAAAAGAATATTACAGCTTTTTGACTGAGGGGAGGGAGAACTTTTATTTACAGAATCTAAAAATGAGTAGTATTTTTTTGTTTGCTTTTTGCTTCTAGATTTTGTACTTCAGCAGCTGATATGAAAATTAGATTATTTACTTCAGATCTTCAGGATAAAAATGAATACAAGGTATGTTTGACAAGTTTACTTACAAATTTTTATTTTAAAATATTTTTTGCTTGTGTAATTGAATTTATCCTGATTTGCTATGACTTTTCACTGTCATCTTCATGTGATTTAGAGCCTCAATTGCACCATTTTGGGCTATAGTGACCAGGTTCTTTGTAAGAATTGCAGATTTTAAATCTGGTATCATTTGTTAAAACAGTAGGTAAACACAGCAAGTGAAGGGCATTAGAAATTCACAGTTGGGTATATTAGAACTATAAGAGACATGAACACATACAGGGAAAGAGTTAAACTTCAGAGCACATGATCAGTACAGCGAAGTGAAAGGCATGATTACAAAGTGGCTAAGAACACAGACACAGCACCAGACCACTGGGTCTAGTCACATTGAGCAAGTGAATAAAAACTTTAGAAGGTGAAGTCCATACTCAGTATTCATTACATACTGGCGAGTGTGCAGGTATGAGTTAAAAAGTTGAGGGTTTTTCTAAATTCCTGCTACGAGTGAGACCATCCAGTATTTTTCTTTTTCTTTCTGGCTTATTTCACTGAGCATAATCCCTTTAGAAAACCTAAATAAGGAACCAGGAAAAAGACTAATTATAATAAAGTAAAAATCAAAATCAACAAGCAACTATAACCAGAGACTCAATACTGGGGTGGGGGGGGGCGGGGAATAGGATGAAAACAAGGGGGTGGGAATTGTATGGGGACTATAACCATGACGAAAATGCATACATTGTGCAAAAATGAAAAATGATGTAAAAAATATATAAAATAAAAAAATTTTTTTTTAAAAAGTTGAGGGATACCTGTGTTTCAGTGCCCCTAGACAGTTCTTCTAGGTTTAATTTTTATTTAAGCTTTTTGTAACAAGTGAGGAAGGAGGTGATATAAGGACAGGTACAGTAAAAAAGCATGTGTTTTTATAAGAAATAAATACTAGAAAAGAAAGATCAAGCTAATAGCAGTGTGTTGAATGATCAGCTTCTATCCAAGATAAACCTTCCAGAAAAGTAGGTGTATAAATCACGCATTAAAAATAGCAGATTGCTTTAGACATTTATAGAAAAGTGTGCAGTAAAAGCTTTTAAGGCAGTGAAGTAAAAATATTAGATAGGGATATTGTAGATTTTTTCCTTGGGTTCTTACTAACTTTTCCTTTTATGTCAGGTTTTAGAAGGCCATTCAGATTTCATTAATGGTTTGGTGTTTGAGCCCAAAGAAGGCCAAGAAATTGCAAGTGTTAGTGATGATCATACCTGCAGGTATGTTGGTTATGTTACAAACACATGTTTGAATTTTCATCTAATTTTAATCAGTATTGCATTCTAAAAATTGGAGAAAATATAACTACTATATAAACACCACAAAATGTTGTAAAAGATGCATACTACTTTCTGTAAGTGTTTCTCAAAGCAGGTGAATTGAGTTCTCATCCCATTTAATGTAAGCTTCCCTTGCTGACACATGGGTCCCTCTCTGCCTCTTTTTTTTTAATATATTTTTTTAAAGATTTATTTATTTGTTTATGTAAGCACAGGGTACAGTCAGAAGCGCAGGAGGGTGAGAGAATTCACCAGAGCCAGAGCAGGGAGCAGAGCAGGCAGAAGGACCGAAGTACACTGCTGAGGGAAGCAGCTGGTGGCAGGAGAAGTCTGCGCGCCATGTGGGACCCTCCCCAGTGGCCGGGGAGCAGCTGGGAATTGAACCCGCACTGCAGAGGCTGCGGGCAGCTTCGCAACCCAGTGCTCAACCGCTGCGCTCCAGGGAGGCCCCGCCTCTCTGCCTCTTATTTTAGATTTGTACATTAATGAGATCTAAATATGTCTTAATTCAAATCCTCCAATATTGGGCACAATTAATAGGACAGTAAAAGGTGATTGCTATATTTCAAAGTCATTTCACACTTCCTGTCTGATAAGTTAGTGTTCAATAATGAACTACAAGTCTCATTTCCTAAAGGGAAATACAGTGTTTTGACAAATTCAGGTCTCTAATTTTTTTTTTTAGATATAAACATTTCAATATTATAGTCTCCCACCCTAGCCCCTAGTTTGAAATGGAGAAGGTATCTGTAACATTTTAATAGTGTATAAAGCTGGCAGTAACACAAAGAACAAGATGAAGAGCAAGAGTAGAAGATGGAAATAAGCTAAGACGTAAGGAGTATGACAAGGGAACTGGTCGTTAGAGCAGTGCCAACTGCTTCATTTCCTTTAACACTTCTGCTATTTAGTTATAATGTTTGATAAGGTTATGTCAAAATCATTAATATTTATAAACATTTGTATACACTTAAAATTTTTAAATGTATTATTATTCTTTATGTACTACCTTTTAAAATTTTAATGAAACTTTTGTATGACATACCAATTCCAAGGACCCCAGATGTTACAAAGCCAAGTTCATATAAAGACCTAAAGAGCAAGCTGTTTTTTAAGGTGAAAGTTAGATTCGATCACTAGAAATAATGACATTTTAGTTATCTAATACGTGGGCTTTCCTAATCATAAAGGTTTCAAATAATGAAACTTGATAGTGATGATAGCCAAGGATTAGCCTCTGATTAGTACTTAACTAGAGACCTCTGGGATGATGTTTAGTGCTCTATGATTTTTTTTCCTTGTGGTAGACTTTGGGATTTGTGTAGATGAGTAAAATTGTCCTACAATTTTGGGGATTGACAGGGGGGGTGCCAGTTTTTAATTTTGTCAAGTAATAAGAATTTTAAGTCTACTGCTTTCTGTTAGTTATTACCATCATTTTATAAAAAGAAAGAACATTGTTATTCTTAAAAGGAGAAAGTAAGCCCTTTCATTTAAATAAATTTAACTCTTAAAAAAACTCACCATGTTGCCTTTAGTTGTCTTACTTTGCTAGACTGTGGTTGATGGTGTTATCATTTGGCAAATACTCTTCCTTCTCCACTCCTTGGAAGGAGGACATTTTCCCACTCTGTTGATCTTAGCCATCTCACTTGTTTAGGCCAATCTAATGCTAATTGGTATGATACAGGTATCATATCATACAGGTGACACAATTTTTTACTTAGTTTACTTTGACTTACTGACTTTACTTTGACTTACAGTTTATAACTGTAGGAGCCAGAAAAAAAACAAAGGAAACACAAAGCTAACAGAATGAAGGAAATAATAAAGATTAGTGCAGAGGTAATCCAAATAGAGAATGGAAAACAGTAGAATAAATGATACCAATAATTGATTCTTTGAAACACTATAGCAAAATTGACAAACCTATAGCTAAACAAGCAAAAAGAAAGGATGCTTCAATTAGTAAAATCAGAAAATGTTGGGACATTACTACCAACCATACAGAAATGAAAAAGGATTATAGAAAATACTATAAACAATTATATACCAGCAAATTAGGTAACCTAGATGAAATGAATAAATTCCCAGAAACACAAAAAATGGTCAAAACCCAAGAAAAAATAGGACATCCAAATCATCACATTGTATGTCTTAAATTTAAAAAGTAGGAAATCTAAATAAACAAAGAGGTTGAACCAGTAATCTAAAACTTACCAACAAAAACTCCAGAACAAGATGCTTCACTAGTAAATCTGCCAAACCTTTAAAGAATTGACACCAATCTGTCAACTGCATCCAAAAAGTAGAAAAGAAGGGAACACTTTGTAACTCATTCTAAGAGGTCAACGTTACCCTGATACCAAAGCCAGGCAAAGACTTCACAGGAAACCACAGACCAACAGCCCTTACAAACAAACATAGAAGCAAAAATTCTCAGAACATCTACTTAAACTAGAAAACTCTTAGAAGAAAACATGGGGGCCTTCATGACCTTGAATTTGCCAGTGGTTTCTTAGATGTGATGCCAAAGGTACATATAACAAATACATAAATTAGAAAACTTTATCAAAATTTAAAACTTTTGGGCTCCAGAGGACACTGTCAAGAGAGTGAAAAGATACTAACAGAATGACACAAAGTATTTATAAACCATAAGTCTGACAAAGGTCTCCTATCCATATATATATTTTAAAAACTTATAATACAACAGTAAAAAGACAAACTAGTATAAAATGGACAAAGAATTTCAATATTTCTTCAAAGATGTGCAAAAAAATAGCAAGCACATGAAAAGATGTTGAATATCATTAGTCATTAGGAAATATAAATCAATACCACAATGAAATTCCACTTCACACTCACTGGGGTAGCTATAAACAAAAACAGAAAATAGTAAGTGGTGACAAGAATGTGGAAAATTGAAACCCTTATACTTGAGTAGGGGGAATGTAAAATCCTGTAGCCTCTAAAAAAAATTGACATCTCCTTTAAAGTTAAACATGTGACCCAGCAATTTCACTCCTAGCGATATACCCAAAAGAATTAAAAACAGGTTTTACTGTATGCTAATCACTATTTTGAGTATCTTATCTATATAAATTCATTTCATTTTACAACTCTGAGATAGGTATTATTTTTAGCCTCACTTTATTGGATGGGAATATTAGGCATGGAAAGGCTAAGTAATTGCAGTCTACAATGTAACTATGAATTCAAACTATAAACCCAGGAGCAAGTGTCTCATAATATGAAATGTAAAAAGATAGTAGATTAAATTTTATCAGTATTCCATCTAAGTTCTCGTTTTAGTCAGCTGTTCTTTACCAGTCCCAGTAACTCCTTTCTAAAACATTTTATAATGCCTTCTATAAATCTTAAGTGAAACTCATATGAATTAACCCATCAAAATATGTAATTACAAAAAATTATAGTACATTAAGTTTATCACACATTTCTATAAAAAGAAAACAAGTCTTTAAAGAATAATAGTGCAGTGAATATATGTTCAGACACAACATAAGAGAAATAGTGAGGTAGTCCTTGTCCCTCTTGACAGTGAATAGAGTATCAGAAAAGTAAGTAAGAGTAAGTGTAAGGCATAGGCAAGGCTGCCAAGTCTCACATTTTCAGGGTTATGGTTTTCATAGAGGACAATGTAAATAGTGCCATCTGGAGTTCTGCAGTGTCATAGCCCTGAGCAAAACTATAGTTATTAGATTAAAAGCTCATGTCAGTAATAACAGGAAAAAATTAAATTTGTTTAGGGAAATAATGTTAGCCAAAGTAGAAATAACATGACAAAATAAATTATAGAATGCCAGGTTGAAAAAATTAGGAAAAATAATATTCTTGAAAAATGAGACAATTTTTATATACATAGTATCAAAATAATTCACTCTTATGCCATGGGATGGAGTACTAACAAAGACTGTTAACCTTCACTCTGACATTCAAAAGTCATATAGCATGTCTGCTGGCATCCTGGTTCTCATCCACTAAACGCCAGTAATGCCCCATCATTGGAACAACCAAAAACACCACCTAAGTGTTAGAATCTTTAAGACATTTTAGTCTTTTCATATTAATGAGAAAACAAATATTCATATTATCTTTGTATTCTGATCAAAATCAAGCATATGTAGAGTTAATAAATTTATAGAATTAGAATCATATTTACAGATGTGTTGTCATTGCTTGTAAAAAATTTATAATTTTTGAAAGATTCTTTGCTAGAACATTACCAGTTCTTGAAATGAAAATATCAAGTACCTTCTTCATATTTCATTAGCTCAGTTTGCAGATGAGGAAGAAAAGTTCTAGAGGCCAAGGAAGATTATTCTAGAATGACTGTTCTAGCCTTTCCACTAATAAGGTATTAGAGGGTTGACCTTGCTTTTCTACCTTATAATCACCAGAGTACCTAGAAGAGTGCCCCTTTGGTCAGTACTCAGTGAGTGAGTGGTGAAGGACTTAATTACATCTGTCACCACATCTTTATAAAAGAGGTGCTGTGACTCAAAAAAGCATCCAACAAGAAATGTGTTTAAGAAAAGAAATTCCTAAGTAAATAACCTAACCGTCAATCTCATGTTCTACATTTTTACCTTTATGGTCCTTTATCTTATCTATCCTATTCAAATACATATATATATTATATATATATATATATATATATATACACACACACACACACACACACACACACACACATATAACTGTGTACGTGTGTATATGCATATGCACAGGACAAAGCAAATATTAGTGTTCATAATTGTGACCCTGCATCATCAAATGTATGTTAAAATTTATTATATTTGAGAGGTCAATAAGTATATACTCATTTAGAAAGATTTATTATCCCCTACCTCCAAAAGAAGGTAAAAATGGTATTTGAGTATTTAATGGGTTAAATTTATTATTTTAAAAACTCACTA